TCTGACTCTTGGTTTCCGCTTGGGTCATAATCTGGGGGTCGTGGCATCAGGCCCCACATGGGGCTCCATGCTCAGCACGGAGTCCTCCTCCCCCTCCCCCTCTGCCCCTCCCCCAGCTCCTGCTCGCTCTTTCTCCCTTGCTCTAAAATAAATAGATAAAATCTTAAAAAAAATAAAGAAGAATGAACTATTTCTTGATAATCAGATAGCACTTAAGTATAGGTACCTTTAGATTTCAGGTGGTGGGGCACTGCAGTTAGGAGGTGGGGGGCGGGGCTCTTATTTGGAGGTAGCGTTTGATGAAAGCAGGCTGGTGCTCTGGAAGGTCCAGCTGAGGCCAGAATGGGCCAGTTACCTTGGGAATTCACCACCACCCTCCTGGCCTCGGTTTCCTTGCCGGTTTAAAAGGATGTGACAAGCGTATTGGAATAGGACGTTTTCTTCTATCTTCAGGGTTGGTGGATTCATTCTATGGTATTTGAGATTTCTTTTCCCAAGCCCTTGAATTGCCTCCCACAAAACTTGAGCAAACTGTAACTGTTTAATGATAAGCTGAAAAACAACATTAAGCACCTCTTTAGGAAGAGATACCCATGTTTTGGGGCACGCGGCTGGCTCAGTCAGTAGAGCGTGTGAGTCTTGATGTTGGGGTCATGAGTTTGAACCCTGCCTTGGGTGTAGAGATTATAAATAAATAAACTTAAAAAAGAGAGATACCCATGTTTCATTTAAACACGTACACATTCACACATACTTTTGTGTGTATATGTGTGTATGTGTGATTATATTATAATACACTATCATATATTGCGCTAACTTATATTACATTAATGTATTTGTGTGTGGGTGCTGATCTTATACGATTTTGTTGTTATAGTTCATAGAAGTAAAACCTGAAAATACTGAAAGTAAAGCAAAAAGATAGGGCAACGGGCCCTAGGGCTCTACATTTTGCCAGCTGGCTTGCTTTGGGGACAGTTTCCATAAAGTGCTCTGTTTTAACACAGTGTGTCATCTGTGGGGGGACTGATTCCTTCATTGTGTGCTCGGTGGGACCTCAGAACTATATAGAGATTCTCTGAAATCTGAGGAAGATTTGAAAAAATACTCTGAAACTTTGCTAACACACACCTGGGGAGCTTGGTAGGTTTTGGTGGCCAGCACAGTCTCTCTGTCCTTAGGGTTACGTGTTTCTATCCTTCCCATCTGTGCACACCACTGTGCGTGGGATTGGATACCGTCAGCATATTGCCTTGTGCAGATGGATGAATTTGGTTTTGTACTGCTAGGTAGCTCCTCAGCCCTGGCTGCCTTAATGCAAGAATATCCTGTGATCATAGGACAAGCTGTTAAAAAACAGATGCTGCTTGCAGTCACTCATCAGTCTGCCTCAGGACTCTGCCTGGTCATGTGCAACCGGGGAGCAATTAGCAGATATGATGCTGTGATCGGCATCCCCAACCCCTGGTGTCAAATTTTCGAGTTTGTCAAGATAGCTTTATTGTTCCCAATGATAGACTTTATCATTAGAATATCTTAGGAATTGAGCTTATAAAATAAATGAAATACTGCTTTTCTCCACGTGGAGGATTCATTTGGAAGAAGAGTTCTGCGGTCGAAAATGTTTGGAAACCACTGATACAATGAAAAGAGCACAGATTTTATAGGCAGGCAGTTCTGGATTTGAGCCCATCTTCCATTGCTTGCTTACTAGATGGTCAAGGGCAAAGTAATTTGCTTCCCTAAGCCTTAGTTATGCCATCTGTAAAGTGGGCCTGCTCTCTAGCAAGCGGGCTATTTTTGAAGATGATAGAGAAATGTACAAATAGACCTCGCCCAGTGCCTGACACATAACAGAAAGTTCAGCATATGATAACGGTTATAAAGCTTTTCATGCTGGGAATTAAAGTCCCCATGTTTCATGTCTGGTCATTACGAGCTGTCTTTCTGCACTAGGGAAAGACATCTATCTCATTTTATTTGCATGCATTTGCATATTTACTTATCTAGTGAACATAGCGTACGCATATCCCAGTAAATGCATTTTCCTCTAACTTAGAGATGTTTTAGCAGGCTGGAGTGGCACATTCTTTCTGATGCATCTTTGCAGCAAATTAATTTCCTTTTCTTTCATTTTGAAAGTGTGTGGAGCCTTAACAGAATCATTTATTGTACTTTGGTTTTTTTCTAGTAGAAAAAAAAAATCAAACAGCCAAGGGGGAACTGCTTTTATGCATTGGGACTCCAAAGTGCTGCTTTATTTTTATGTACAGGCTCTTTGTGGGTGGACTGCAGAAATCCCTACTCTTGGAAATGTTTCTGAGCCCTCTGGGAAACTGAACAGGGGAAAAAGAGCTAATTAAAAAAGCTGCCATCCGCCTCCTCTAATTAACTTGCTCTCTGCTCCTGGGAGAGGGAGCGGAAATGTGAACACAACGCAGGCATCACCGGAAGTGAATGCCATTCTTGTGGTCCACGGTCGCCCGTGGTGTTTTGATGCAGAAACAGTTCATGGTAAACGGGCAAGGAACCACAAAGGGGCTTGATGTGCCCTCTCCCTCCCACACGGGGCAGTGGTGAATGGTGGCCCCTTCTGAGCAGGTGCTCCGGGCCGGGCAGCTGCAGCAGGGGAGAGACCTCATTGGAATTCAGCAGCTCGGACCCAAGAGCATCCGGCCCTCCCTGTCGCTTGCTTGTGCTGTTGGGAAAGAGCAGGGGTTCTTTGTGCTCTAAAGCCTCACATCGCCAGGGCCCAGGGTTGCAGAAGCCACGGGAGGAGCACGCAGCCTCTCACTCCACGCTGGAGAAGCTCGCAGCATCTGTGGCTGGCAGTGCGGCTAACTCCTTCCTGACATCTTGGACAGATTTAGATCCCAGAGATACGGCAAGGGAATCAGGGGTAGGACTTTAGGGGACAGAGGCTATCCTTCGGCAGAGATGGCTTTTGCCTCCTGGCGGATGTGGCCCCTGGTGGAATGGGCCCAGTGGATGTGGACAGCGGTGACCAGCAGTGGAGACTCCAGTCTGATGGCCCTTCAAGGAAGCCCTGGAAAGAGGCAAGTTGGCTCCATGCTTCTTGTCAGTGTTGCCCCTGACGTGTGCAGTGCTGGGGGCAGGGTGACATCTGGGGCCCACCAGGGTGATCCAAACTCTGGTTTCTCTTTGATTCTCCCTTGTGTAACTTCCTTGTGTTTTTCATGCCGGTAAACGGACCCTGCAAAACTCAGGTACCTTGGTCTGTTGTCCGAGTTTGTATCCTCACTTCCCCTAGACAAAAGCAAAGGCCTTTCATATTAATGTGTGTTTGTAAAAAGTCAGCCTGGCCCCTGTCCTCTGTGTGGAGGTTAAGTCTTTCCTCATGAAATTTGTTAGTGTGCAAGCTTCAGCTCATTGGAGCCCATCAAAAGCAGCTCCGGTGTTTCTGTTCATCTCCTTGGGTCCCTGGAAGGCTTTGGGGCTGGTTGCCGGAGCCAGGATTCTTGGGGGTGGGGTCTTTGGCACTGATAAAACGAGTCACTGACAAGTTGTAAAAACATCAATGTGTAGATTTTTCCGAGATAACTCACCAAATGGCTCCTTTTCCCTGTGCTGGCTGATGGTGGAGGGATTGGCTCGGTTCCTGGTCCTCTCCGCCAGCTAGCAGATAGTCTTCAGAAGAGGCTGCCCTCTGTGGAGGTCACGAGTCCTTTGACACCTTGCGGGAGCTCAGCAGCGGGAGCGTTTCATGCTCCACACTCACCTGGTTCGTCACCCTCTGATTACACATCTTCACCCAGATTTGCCTGCTTGGGCCCCTCGTGCCAGTAGCAGTCCAAAATATCCACTCTCTGGATAATGACCTTGCTTGTGGCAAATGAGTAAGTGGCCTTTTAGTGTCTGTACAATATCTTGAGTTGGGAGTCAGTCCAGGTGATGCTGCTCTGGCGTCCTTGGAGTGAGGCTGGTCCAGGACCGCGCACCACTGGGCATCTTGAGCAAGCGGGAGGGGGGGCTGCCCCGCGGCCCCAGGACATACATAGGCCTGGCTCCGTGATTTGGGGAGGTCTCCTTCTTTCTGGCTTAAAATTGAACCCCCGGTAGAAGCAGGGTGACGGAGAAGGGCTGTCTGCTCTGGGTTTTCTGGAGCCCAGGGCAAGGCTTTAGTTTGTTGAGCAGCCTCCCCCTTATTTCTGGGTGGGGTGTCCTCTGGGTAGAATTTTGGTCCATTTCTCTGGATGAAGAATCTTCCTTGGGAGCAGAACTTCCTGCCGATTGGCAGTGGTTATCATCATATCCCTGAGATCAGCAGGCTGTGTTTTATGTCTTGGTCTGGCACATCCTCCAGAGAGCTGGCTTGCCAGCTTGCTTTCATTCATTCATTCATTCACTCATTCACTCATTCATTCAACAGATGTTTCTTCACTGCCTCTTGGCTTAGGCTCAGAGATGCTGTAATAAATAAGGCCAGCTGCCCTCATGGCCTTGAAGCTCAGTAGATGAGAAAGATAATTAACACAATTAGGAGATGAATGAATCTATAATAAGTTACGAGAAGCTCCGGGAAGGAAGGGCAATGGGAGAGAATGATGGATGGGGAGAGGCCACATGCTGATTTGGTTTCACGGACTGGGGACCCTATGTTGTGTTGGAACCATGGCACCGAAACGTATTCCTGAGAATATCAGTTTGACCGAATTGGTGCCAGAGTTGTTCAAAAGATTCCCCTGTGTTTGTATTTGTCACTGAGGCCAGAAATATGTATTTCTCATAGGGCTAAGTTCAAGGGCTAAGCTTATGTCATTTGGGAACAAAGCTGGTGATAATGAGATTCACTCTTGGGAATCATGCTGAGAAATGACTTTCCTCGGACAGCTCAATTGGGCAACAAGCTTGGTTCTAGCGGTCCTGGGCAGGGGTCAGAGGGCCACACGGCCTCAGCAGCACTGGCCCCTGGCTCCTTGGAGCAGACTCGGCCCAGACCCCTGCCTAATGCTGTGTTTGTCTTCTCCTCTCTCCATCAGGAGTTCTGACTCTGAAGAAGCATTTGAGACCCCCGAGTCGACGACTCCTGTCAAAGCTCCCCCTGCCCCACCCCCACCGCCCCCTGAAGTCACTCCAGAACCTGAGATCACCGCACAGCCTCCCCTGGAAGAACCAGGTAACCAAGGTCAGGTGCTCCCCCAGGGAAGCTTGGGAGCAGCTCTGGGCTGGGGCAGCTGGAGGGGGGCACCCACTCCAGGGGGCTGTTGCTGGAGCTCCTTAGACACTCCCCAGCTGCTGGAGCCTCTCTGCTCAGTACTGTTTTGTGAGTGAAAACTAAGAGTGAGAAGATATAGTGGATTATTCTGTCTGCTTTGAAGGTGTTTAGGGGAGGCCTGTGGGGAGACCCCTCATTTAGCTCTGGGTGCCTTTTGCTTGGTCTCCAGAATTGGGTTTGAGAGGACAAGTGGATCTGGGAGGTTTCTATTTGGGATTCTATCTTGGATTCTAACATGTGGCCCTTGGCTCCCATAAGAACACTGGTGCTAGACAGCCCACATGCATCTGCATTTTTATTGAAGACCATAGCCCCCCTGGGCTTGGGGATAGAGATAATGCATGCAGTAAATGGGAAGGAAGAGAAAGCCATAGATAGCCAAACCCATGCATGGATGGTTCATTTATTCCTCATTAACCTCAAGTTATTTCATATCACTTTCCTGCCTCCTTTCTTCCCCAGTGTGACTGAAAACACAGATCTTTCCAAATCTTTCAGATGTGATTGCTGGAGGTGGGAGGGGATGGGACGGATCTCATTCCCCAGCCCCAGCCTGCCCACCTGGCTAGTGTTTTATGCGTGCATCCTTCAGTTACACCAGCAGGGCTGGGACCACCTCCAGTGTGAGGGTTTAACATGAGACCCGGAAGGAGATGGGGACTGCCAGAAATGGCCCAGCAGACTGGTCAGAGGGCCAGGTGGTACTATTCTTAGACCTGGACTACCTTCCTGCATTGGGCCGTGTATTTTAGAGGGCCCCACTCTGGCTTTCCTCCAGCCACGGTCCCCTCTCTGTGGTGAGGCTGTAGGGCCAATCTCCTCCTAGACCTCACTCTGGATACCTGGGGGCAGCCACTTCCTGGGCCTACCTGGTCCCTTTCTCATGGCCCATCTTCCCAGGACTGACTGTACCCATGTTTATACCTCTCAGCCAAGGAGGAACCAAGGATGGGTCTGGGACCTACAGGTGGGGTGTCCATACACCTGTGCTCAAGGCCACCCCAGGTAAGGGATGGAGCTGGGGTGGGAGGAGAAGGAGCAAGTTGATGGCTGGACCTCCATTCCTACTCTTGCCCTGGCCAGGAGCCAGGTGAACTGTAAAGTCAAATGACATTTTGACCTTGATGTTGGTTTTACAAAGAAATGGGTAGAATTCTTTCTACCTGCCCTGGGTTCAAACAGGCTGTATTTTAGAAAGGGCAGACACTCCGGGGCTGAGTCCTAAGCACATATGCTCCCCGATCCTGGGGGGAAAGGTTAGGACCATTTTTGAGGGGGGGGCAGATGTCTTTGCTGGTGTCTGACAAAGGCAGTTTTCATATTCTCTCGTCTCTGACAGCTCATCTGCTAGTAGCATCTGATTCTGCATCGCTAGTCTAGGGGCTGGGCCCTGAGAGAGGAACTCTTGCAGTTTATTTGATTTTAAAGTAGAGAAGGAGCCAGAAGGTTTTTAGCGTTCCCATTTTTTAGCGTTCCCATTTTTTTTCATATTATGAAGCATATAAAAATTCATTTCCTATAATACTGTAAAAAAAAAAAATCACCTTTAGGTTTAATGGAAAGTGAATGACAAATAGATTGTAATCCCTAGATCAAACATGTGATTGAAAATAAACTATCCTTTTTTTGTTGGTACAAGTTCATGCCCACAGATGTGTGGGCTACCGGGGGAAAGAACTGAGAAGAAAATGGTGGTGTATCACACTGTACGGTCCATCCGCCCGCACCAAGAAGTAAACAGGGAAGGGCCATTGCTGTGAGCCGCTGTGCGCCTTCTAGGATTTCCAGCCACGCATCCTGATGGCGTCTGGGGATGGTTTGCTGCTTTTGTTCTTTTCTGTGGCCTGTCCTTGTTCCTTCTGCCTGACTTGCTTTTCAACAAAGCAAAGAACAGTCTCCATTCTTAAAAACAAACACATGCACAGCTCCCGCCTCTTTCTTAGAGGGCAGCTTCAGAAAGAATGAGCACTGCAGGGGATTAGGAGGTAACCCCCACCCGGAAGGGGTTGGAGCTGGTAATCACCACGAGTCACAGCCCCACAGAACTTTTGATTACATCAGTTGGAGTCTTTGAACATGGACTTTGTGCTTCTCCTTCTTGGAAAACTCCAGTGAAGCTAAATATACGTGGCTCACACAATAAGGACTCTTACGGTTGGGATCGTGACTGCTTAAAGCTCCCCCGGGGCTTGGGCTGTACAAAGATCCATTGGCTTCACAGCCCTTGTTATAAAAGTCTGCCCGTCCATTCTGCAGGCAGCATGGGGCAAAGCAGAGGCTTGAGCAGGCGGGTGTGCCTGCTTTCAGAGGTAGCTAGAGGGGAAGAAAGGTTCCTTCCGGGAAGCGCAGGCAAGAAAGGGCTCGGGGGAATATCCATTGTTTGGTCTCTTTTGCAGAGTGCCCAGGATATTGCTAAAGGTGCTGAAAGAGCCACGGAATATAACAGACTAGACCCTTGGCTGTGAATAAAGACATGATTTGCTCCCCTGGAAACCCACACTGTAGAAAACAACCAGTCGGTCACCTCACCTTGGGTCCTGCCAGCATGGTTGTGCCCCGTGGGATAGGAGGATTGGGGAGGATGCTGGGTGTTGGCCTGCATCTGCCCTTCGTCTGGGCTGGGCCATGCCAGGATGCAGCTTGTCTGAGCCCGATTTTCTCTTACCTGTAACATGAAGAGGGCAGCCTGCCGGTCCTCCGAGAGCCTGCTTCCCTTTCTGAGCTTCCCTGGTTTTGAGATGGCAGTGTGGGGCTGCTGTATGGTGGCCATGTTCCTAGAGCTCAGAACTGGCCAATGAGGGATGAAAGGAAATGTCGCATCGTTAAATAGTAGCTCCCATGTAAGTGTCCACCATGTGCCAGGCCTGCGCTGGGTTCTTTGTGAGCGTCGTCTCCAACTCAGCCGAGAATCATCCCCCGTGCTTACAGCATCCCTGTGTGTCAGATGGCATCACCTGCCTCCGCAGGAGGTATGCAGCTTCCAGACCTCGCCCCCCGTCTCGCAGCACATGAGGGGCTCTGGGATCAGAACCCAGGCCTCTTGACTCCCTTCCATTGGGAAACCAGGCTGCTGTCTGCAGGTCTAGTGAGCTGGTGCATTTAAGTACCCCGAGGCAGAGGATGGACACAGCAGTTGTCAGGTGTGAGCAGGTGGTCAGGGAACCTGTGAACCTGGTTTCGTGGTAACAGAGGTGGGCTCCTTCGATGGTGGCCTTCCTTCCAGGGCCATTGCTTTCCCCTGGGGTGAAGCCAGTTTTCTTAGCTGGCTAGCTGGGAAACTGCCCAGGAAGGCCCATGGGGGGGCCCTTGGAGGTGACTGCAGACACCATGCCCTGAGTGCTCTAGACCTTTCCTCTCTGCCCCATGGGAAGTGTGGCCTTTGCTGAGGTCCTGGTTGGGTTCCACATGGTAGTTCGTGGCCCCAGTCTTCAGACTGACTCAGGCCCTCTGGGCCCTGTAATGGGCCCTGTGGAATGACCTGCTTAATGACCACACAATGGGACAGCAGGTTCTCAGGCAGGGACAGTGGTGCCCCTCAAGGGGACATTTGGCAATTTTTAGAAACATTTTTTTAAAAGATTTTATTTATTTGAGAGAGACAGCACAAGAAGCGGGGAAGGGCAGAGGGCAAGGGAGAAGCAGACTCCCTGCTGGGCAGGGAGCCTGATGCAGGGCATGATCCCGGGACTCTTAGACCATGACCTGAGCCGAAGGCAGATGCTTAACTGACTGAGCCACCCAGGCACCCCTAAAACATGTTTAGTTGTCACAACTGGGGTTGGGGTGCCAATGGTATCTAGTGGGTAGAGGCCAAAGATGCTGCCGAACATCCTACAGTGAACAGCACAGCCCCCCGCCACAGACAAGTCATCATCCCGATATGGCCCCAGTGCCAAGGCCAAGACACCCTGTAGCAAGACTAGGTTTCCTGGTCCATGATGAGTTAATTCAGGTATGTCAGCTCTGAAGAGGAAAGGGTGTTAAGCAGGTAGGGAGCTTTTGTTCTGGGTCAGATGGTGAGCAGATGGTTGCATGTTGCATGAGTCTGGGCAACTACTGACAATCTGAAGGGTCTCAGAAGGCCCGGGGCAGCCTGAGAGAGAGGAGATTGGCAGTTGTGAGCCTTGCTTTGGAAACAGTCGGGTGGGCTGAGGCTCTTTCTCCCTCCTGCAAGGCCCCCTTAAAAGCCCCTGTTCCCCTGGGTCCTCTGGTCCTTCTGAGTCCTCTGTGCCATGTGTCCGGGCAGGAGGATGGGGTGCTTCAGGGTGCCAGGCCCTGGAAGTAGTAGAGAGGGAGTTGGTTTTTAAAAGAAGCAGGGAGGAGACTTCTTTTGAGATGGGAAGAAACCTGGAGTGTTTTTGAGGGGAGGGAGGAATCACTTCGTGGAAAGAACTGTGAGGCTTTAAGGAAGTGCCCTCCGTCTTCCAGGACATTTGCTGCAAATAGGGCCTGGGGGGCGCTGGGTGCAGGAGAGACGGGAAGGTTTAGAACCGTGAATAGACCTGCTTCCAGAAGGTGTCTTCGATATAAAGGTGCTTATGGAGCCTGCAGGAGAAAGTGTGACCAGTTCAGGGAGAACAAAGATGAGTCAGACCCGTTCCTGAACTCAGGAGGCTTGGGCTTCGCTTGCGTTGTCATCTCCTGGGCGGGGGTTCTCTGCCAGGTGCTCCAAGAGAAATATCTGCTCGCGAGCAAAGTCGGGAAGCAGCGCACAAACACTCACCCCCCGGGCGTTTGCGGTGGTGAGCATGAATTGCTCTGAGAAGATATCCAGCAAGAGGCCAGTTCAGGTTTGGCCAAGCATTTCCCAAACCACGTCCACTTGTTGGGATGAGGGGTAGGGCTGCCAAATTCAGCAAATGAAAATACAGGTTTAAAGAGATCCAGTTAAATCTGAATCCCAGATAAACGAGGCATTACCAAGACATATTTATACGAAAATGATCTGAATTTTCGTATAATGATCGTTTCGATCCTTTTCAATGATCTGAAATTCAAAGTTAACTGAACACCCTGTGTTTTATCTCACCTCTGTGCCAGCCTGGCATGGGGTGGGCGTTGGGGGCATAACTCCCATTAGTGAAAGACAACTTTGGGAGCGCTGTTCCGGGCCGTACCTGTGCCAGCTCTCCAGTCCCTTCTTCTGCAGACCTCTTCGCAACATTTGCCCTCCTTGTCCAGTGACATGTTGTTAGTCTTCTGACGTGCTGACTGCCCAGGACAGCTGTGAACCCAGAAATGCATGAAAGGCACCAGCTGGTGCAAGCAGAGTCCAAAGTGGCCAAGCCAAGGCCAGGCTGGCCAGATCCCCATGGAGCAGTGGGCTCATGAGGTGGTGGAGCATCTCGTGGCCAACATGCGGAACATGCACCAGTGTGTTTTACAATAAGGAGCAGCCTCTGTGGCCAGCAGTGGCTCTGGGGGTGGGGAGGCTGGGAAGAAGAGCAGTGGCGAGAGGAGAGGGAATGGACCAGAGGAGAGGCCAAGAAGAGGAGCGTGGCAGCAGAGTTGGAGGGAGTGATTACAGAGACGCCTGGCATAGGGACAAGTGGCGGGCAGGGCATGCTCAGTCCTCCTGCAGTGGCCTGGGGGCCTCCACGGAAAGTCTCCCTGTTGTTCCTCACAACAAGCTCTGAGTAGTCAAGAACAGGCTCGATGATGGTAATGGCTGTCTTCCTCTCCCTTGCTTTAGTCCCACTGGCCTCTCTTATTTCTTTAACACACCAGGTGTGCTTCTACCCCAGGGCCTTTGCACTTGCTGTTCCTGTTGCCTGTGATGCCCCCCCCCCCCCCCCCAGCCAGATACCCTCCTGGTTCACACCTTTACCTTGTTTCTGATCTTTGCTTAAGTGTTTCCTCCTTGGAGGGCTTTGCCAACTACTTTATTTTAAAATTGCAATGTCCCTGGCTCTATTTTTCTCCATAGTGCTTATTACCATCGGGCGGTCTGTACATTTTGCTTATTTGTTTCTGAACTGTCTTCTCCCTGAAGAATGTAACTTCCAGGAGGGCAAGGATTTGGTCTGTTTTGTTCATTGTTGACTCCCCAAACCCCAGAATGGTGCCTGGTCCTGACTGGGAACTCGGTAAAGGTTTTTTTTGAATGACTGAATGGTTTGAGCTCTTCCCTAAACAGCCCTCCTCACTCCCATTTTACAGATGAGGAACTGGAGGGTAAGCCTATCCAAGGTCTGGAGCTGGCTTTGTACCCCGGCACTGCGCCCGCCCGGTGGGGACCCAGGGGAGGGGGCTGGGGGTTCCGCTTAGCGGGTAGCAGTCTGGCACGAGAGGAGAAATGCTCCCGTGTCCTGTGTCCTTCAGTGACTGCTTTGCCTCCTCTTCCTCAGGCTGCGGTTCTGAGCCGGCCTCCGTCCCCGATGGCCCACGCAGCAGCTCAGTGGAAGGGAGCCCCTTCCGTCCCCCGTCACACTCCTTCTCCGCCGTCTTCGATGAAGACAAGCCTATAGCCAGCAGCGGGACTTACAACTTAGACTTTGACAGCATCGAGCTGGTGGATGATTTCCAGACCTTGGAGCCCCGCTGCTCGGACTCTAAGAGTCAGGAATGCAAAGTGAACACGCGGAGGAAATCCACGGATTCCGTGCCCACCTCCAAGGCCACACTGTCCCGCTCTCTCAGCCTGCAAGCTAGTGACTTTGATGGTGCTTCTTGCTCAGGCAACCCTGAGGCCGTGGCCCTGGCCCCAGATGCGTACAGCACGGGTTCAAGCAGCGCTTCCAGTACCCTTAAGCGAACTAAAAAACCAAGGCCACCTTCCTTAAAAAAGAAGCAGACCACTAAGAAACCCACTGAAACCCCCCCAGTGAAAGAGACACAACAAGAACCAGTGGAAGAGAATCTTGTTCCCAGTGAGGAGAACCGAGCATTCGAGACAAAATCGGAATTGGCCAAGACAGAAGGTTCTGTACGAGCCCTCTTGGAGGAGACGCCCCTGGAACCCACTGCTGTGCCCAAGGCTGCCTGCCCTCTGGACTCCGAGGGTGCTGAAGGGGCCATCCCCCCAGCTTCTGGAAGTGGCAGAGTGCAGAACTCACCTCCGGTTGGAAGGAAAGCATTGCCTCTTGCCACGGCTCCGGAGGCGGTGGAGGTGACCCCATCGGAGAGTGGGGGGCAGGAGGACTCCCCAGTCAAAGGGCTCTCGGTGAGGCTGGAGTTTGACTATTCTGAGGACAAGGGTAGTTGGGACACCCAGCAGGAAAACCCCCCTCCTACCAAAAAGCTAGGCAAGAAGCCGGTTGCCAAAATGCCCTTAAGGAGGCCAAAGATGAAAAAAACACCCGAGAAACTGGACAACACTCCTGCCTCGCCTACCAGATCCCCCGATGAACCCAATGACATCCCTATTGCTAAAGGTACCTACACCTTTGATATTGACAAGTGGGATGACCCCAATTTTAACCCTTTTTCTTCCACCTCAAAAATGCAAGAGTCTCCCACACTGCCCCACCAGTCCTACAACTTTGACCCAGACGCCTGTGACGAATCCATTGACCCTTTTAAGACATCCTCTAAAACCCCCAGCTCGCCTTCTAAATCCCCAGCCTCCTTTGAGATCCCAGCCAGTGCCATCGAAGCCAATGGAGTGGACGGGGATGGGCTGAACAAGCCTGCCAAGAAGAAGAAGACGCCCCTAAAGACGTAAGTTCAGGGGTGCAAGGTGGTAAGATCAGAGGTGGGGCTGTGCATTGGCTGTGATCCTGGGTCATGTGTCTGGATGGACGTGGCTGCCCTAGCCCTTCCATGCGCCGTAACGCCGCCAGGTTTGCAACACGGTACCTGTCTCCCTTCCTCTCTTCTCCCACAGTGGTGGCATTTCCCAGCCACCTACCCCTTTGGGTCTAGAGTCCTTGATCCTTTGCCTTATTATGACAGTGGTTTAATGCATTACTTTTAGCTGAAGTCCCGACGTTTGACTCCAGGGGAGAGTGGGAGAGCCCATGGAGAGGGAACCATCCAGTAGAGACCTGCTCAGCCTCCCTTTGGTGACTTAGCCTTTTCCCTGGTTAGCACAGGAATTACTTTTTGGGGTGGCCTACCACCTAGGAGATCTACCCTTAAAATATTGTTAAGAGTTTATAGGATTTGTGTCTGCCCTTTAATGGCCCAGGAGCGAGAGGTCTGGCCTGGATCCTCCTCCCTGCACCCCAGCCCACCCACGAGAAGCACCTCGTGGGTCTTCATTCCTTTTTCTAGCCATCTTTTGCAGAAAACACTCCAAGGCCCTGTAGGTCCAGAAGGGGTCGATGAGAAGACAGTCCCCAGGAGGCCATTCATGACTGGTTCTGCTGTCCACAGACACTTGCCAAGTAGAGTACCCTTCAGTACTCCGTGTCAATATCTCTGGAGTCAGTCCCCAGACCCAGCTGTCACCTGGGTGCCTGCAGGTCCCTGCTCAGGCTGTGGGTCCCAGCATAGTGGGGATGGTGCTCGGAGCCTTCCTCCTGCTCTCCTGGGAAGTATGGTCAGTAGAACAAGGACCCGTAGACCAGGCTTCTGGCGCCAGCTCAGCCGGAGAGACCACCAGACTCTGCCTGGTATGAACTGAGACGGGGTGACCTTTTTACCTCCCATTCGGGGCTCCCCACGGAGTTAACATTTGAGAAGAACCTGAGGCTTCCTGAGAGCAGGTTCTCTAAGCAGACATTAGCCGTGGATCCCAAGACTTTTGAGATCAGCTCCCCAGCCAGGCCCTTCCTAGACACTCCGTCAAAGCTGTGTTGGAAGCTTTTTTTAAAGCCTCGAACAGAAGTCTGAGATGCCCAGATGACAAAGCCACGGTCTCTCATTTTTGGAATGAGAGCCAGCTTGTAGCCACCACGCACCTCCTCCTTCCCCAGAGGTAGCTTGGTTACAATCTGCCCTGTCATCAGAGCTAACTAACAGGTCAGGGAAGCCAGCCCATCTCTGGGTCTCACGTCTAGTGCAGAAGACTTGGAATCCTACCCCAGTGTGACAAAGGTCTTTGGGCGCCAGCGCCTTACGGGGTAATTGGAACCAAGAGACGAAGGTGCTCTCCGACAGCCCCTCTCCAGAAAGCTGGGACGTTGGCCATGCTCGGCAGCAGAACCCACGGTGGATGGCTCCTGTACCCCAACCCACTGAAAACCAGTCGTTTGCAGATTGATCTTTTTTGTCAGTTCCTTCTGTCTGTCTCTCTTTTTTCTTGTCTTCTTGTCTTAGGATGGTTGAAGATGTGATGTCTGTGTGTTCTCTGTTGTAAGTAAATTTAATGGAATCTGCCTCTCATCCTACCTGTGCTTTTTCCCCTGCTTTTCTGTTTGCTTTCAAGCCCTCTCCACCTCCTCTCCACGGCGGCTGCTTATGTATTTCTGCCTTGGGCCTGGGGATGGTGGGGGGGGGCGGCAGGGGGCTCCCCAGTAGCAGAGGTTACGTTCCTGTTTCAGAGTGATTAGCATAAGTGAAAACTGCTTGGCTGTGAAAATGTGATTATCCAACATCTGCCTGCTTGTCAGGAATGGAACTGGTTTTTTTTTTCCCCCCTTGCATATTGGATGTCTTCATCTGAAACCCATACTTTTTTTTTTTAAAAAGCTCTCATTTCCATTCTTTCATTTCCAGTTGGACTAGTGACCGATTGCTTTCAAAGCGCTGTGGCTTCACGACGAAATAACCGGCCGGCCGGCCACAGGCAGTGGCCCGCGGTCGCTGGTTCACGCTAACGTATGGAGCGGAGATCGTGGGGCTAATTGAGACCCCCTAAAATGCCAGGTTGGCTCAGAGTGTAGCACACAGCTGTGAGAGCCCTCGCTGGCCTGCTCTGGGCCTGGTCCTTGGTCGGCCGGGACCAGGCCGGGTATCGACCGGCATGCCATCTGAGGGTCACCCTGCTGGGTGTCGGTGGAACCCGAGCAAACCACCTCTGGGCCTATGCTGCTTTGCCACCATGGGAGGGACGTTGCGGGCAGCTCCCAGGGGCCCCAGGACAGGTACCCTCTCTGCCTCCCTGTCCTTACAGGGGAAGCTGGCCTGGTCCCAGGCATCCAGCAGCCCCCCGGGATAGGGTTGAATCTCTCAGGTTTGTTTCTGCCCAAGGGATTTCTTTAGGTTTTTAGAGCCATTTTAGCAACTCTCAACTACACAGTTATATATTTATATGCATGGATAAATATTTGCTTCAGGCTGGGACTGCACTGCTCATATGGCAAATGCTATAAATGCTGTAAATGACCATTTCTAGTGGTTTTTCATGACTGAATGCCATTGTTGGAGCGTTCTATTGAAGAGAACACGAGGAACTTGAGTGCCAAATTGCTCTGTCCATCCAGTTAATGTTTAGAGCTGGGAAAGGTAGTTGCAGTAATAAAAGTGCCAATAAGTAAATTTCCTTATTTTTTTCTTAGTGTGAATGAGCAGGAATGTCTCCATTCTTGCTCCATTCCATGGGATCTAAGGTCAGGGGACAACCCCCACCCCAAAAATGCCATTGCTTTGCTGGGGGCAGGACCATTCCACGGAGGGGCCCGAGACCAGGGGCCAGGCTGGAGGTGGGGAGGCCTCCAATCTGCCTGGGAAATGAGCCCCTGACCACTCGGTGACTCAGTGGAACAGTGTTTTCTAAAAATGCTTTCCTTTGTTGACCCCTTCGCAAGTCTGATCTGATGTTTCCTTTGTCTCGAGTGACCTGCCCCTGCCCCTAATTATTTACATGAAGGAGAAAGGAAGGGAGAAAAGAATCATTAACCATGGTTAGGAATAGACAGTGGAGAAATCATCTCATCCTGGAAAGAGTGCTGGGGATTGCTTGTACAATGTGAAAGGACTTGAAGCTACTGAAGTTGGAGTGTTGAAGATGGTAAATCGTATGTTATGTGTACTTCACTACAATTTAAAAAAAGAATCCCTTCACCCTGGCCCTGCCTCTGGTTGGAATCTCACCCAGAAGTGCCGAGGTGCAGGAATCCTTTATGCTTCGAGTTCCAGTGAGTGGGAAGGGATTCTCCCTGAAGACCCAGAACGGTCCTTCGTGTTTCTGCACGGCTCTGGCTGTGGTTCGTTATGTGCTGTGTCGGCCTGCCAGTCCGTAAATGGGATCCTGTTCATCGGTGTCGGGAATCTAGGTCCCTGGCCCGCACCTCACTTGGTTCAGGCATTCTTGGATGAATCTGGATACATGAATCTCACCAAAATCTGCTTTTTAAAATAAGAACCTCTGGCTAAATTTAGCTGCATTTTCTGGGCCAGCTCTCCAAAATGGCATCTCTTTAAAAGATTTCCAGCTTGAGGACTCTTTCCCTCAGGGGCAGCGATAATATCTGTTGTTAAGTTGGGATGAATCGTCGGCGCGGACGACTCTTAGCCGCTGCGGAGGCCGGAGGCTGTGGCTTCGGTCGGCTCTGTGTAGCTCTGGACTGTTCTGTACCACTGTTTGTCGTGTTCACATTTTCCATTTTATTTCTAGTGACACATTCAGGGTGAAAAGGTCGCCAAAACGGTCTCCTCTCTCTGATCCACCTTCTCAGGTACAGTGTTCCCTTGAAATGTATGATTTTATCACTCACCCAAGCTGCTAAAGCCCATGCGCTTTGATTCCCTGCTGGTCAGCCAGAGCTGTCTTTTCTGCTCATTACGGGCACGTTTCCAGCATCCTTTTTTGCCTCCTACGTGGGGGCTCCCTTGCTGTTTGCAAGACATCGTTTTGATCCCTTCCCTTTGGAAGAGATCAGAGTATGTCCCGAGAGTAGAAAGATAGATGTTCAGCAGAAGTGTTGGGTGGGTTCTGTGGGAATCATGCTGATCCATTCTGGCCAGTTCATCTGCTGAGAACTTCTATGAATACTAAACTGAGAAAGTCCTTGGAGGTAAATGAATATATAGTGGAAAGAACTGAGTGTCAAGAGCACTGGATTATGTAACTAAAATCCAAGTGGGGAGATAAAGGAAATCACGCCCTAAAGAAGTGGGGTTTGGGCCCTTTCCCCTCTAACTAGTTCCTTTATGAGATCTACGCCATGACAGACCGAGGAGGGTTGGCCTCGGGCATGTATGCCAGGCTCCCATCTGAGCCAGCGACGTCCCAGCCAGCAGACCGTAGTCCGGCTGGGCTGCACAGAAAGGCACCCCGCCCCAGGAGAGGGGTCTGGGGTCCCAGTCCCAGCTCTGCTCTAACACTTCTGGGCACCCCCCCACCCCTGCCCTACTCAGCTGCTCCCCCTCTGTGCAAGTCCTCCAGGGACAGGCATGCAGATCGACAGGTGATACTGATGAGATCAGTTCACAGGCCCTGAAGCACTGTGTGGACATAACACAGTAGTTGCAGTAATAAAAGTGCCAATAAGTTAATTTCCTTACTTTTTCTCAAGGTGAATGAGCAGGAATGTCTCCAATAACCCGGACACAAAATCCCAATTTTTTTTTTTAAACCCACGGTCAGCCCCCCACCCCAATAACAAGCCATCAGGAAAGGAAATTCACGAATTCACAGAGGAAAGAATTTGCCTCCTTGGGACCGTTTTGAGCAGAGTCCGAGGACCTGCTGAGGAGCTGGATAGGGACCTGCCTTGGTTAGAGGGTCCCCAGACTCAGGTGGGCGGGTGCCGCTGGGGATGCAGAGACCGTGTGAGAGGAGAGACTGCTTCTCTTTTGCTCCCAGGACCCCACGCCAGCGGCGACACCAGAAACACCGGTCATCTCTGCGGTGGTCCACGCCACCGATGAGGAGAAGCTGGCTGTCACTAACCAGAAGTGGACGTGTGTGACGGTGGATCTGGAGGCTGACAAACAGGACTACCCGCAGCCCTCGGACCTGTCCACCTTCGTCAATGACACCAAATTCAACTCACCGACGGAGGGTAAGCACCTTGGTGGCCAGCCAGACCCCCACCCTGCCCTGGAGACCACTGCCCCTGGGGAGTGCGAGACCAGGAAAGAAACTTCCAAGCCAGGTTGCCTTGCCATCCGGGTACTCCAAGCTAAGCCTGCATTTTAAGACAGCCTAAGGCTTGAACCCAGCTATACCCCAACCCCGAGATGTTAGCTGAGAGCCAGTCAGCTCAGGGCCCCCCCACCCCCCCCCCGGCCCCGATTCTCATCCTGAGCTCACTCAAGTTTTGCTCACTCTCTCTTACGGGCCTGGGTGATTTTGGAACACACCCAGCTGCGAGCAGCGCCATTCAAGCCAAATGCTCTGGGTGGGTCAATCCCTGCCCAGGCCTGGGGTCCCCCGGGGCCACCACTGTGCATCAGCCCCACAGGACGCCCCACAGTGGGGCCACGCCTTCCACTCAAGCCCCCAAACCAGACGGTTCACCCCAGGCTTGCCAACGAGAGGACCGTTTTCCTGAACAGGCCCCCGGGCATGTTGTTTTCTTGTCAAGATCTTTCTTCCTCCTACACATATTTTCGCTTTCAGCTTTCTGCCTGATCCTTTGAAAAATTCATCTATCTTAAGTCAACACAACATGATTGGTGAATCAAGATTTTTTTTTTTTTTTTTTGTAAACTGCTTATTCCACGAACACTGATTTTTCTGAATCTTTGTATTGGCTCCCACACGTTCCTTCCTCATCCGGAAAGCTGCCGAGGCCTGAAACCTCCTCCTGGTCTGATGGTGCTCTTGGTTGCTCCCGCCCCTCTGTGAGCTGAGCTTCCCTCCGGCACTCAGGACTGTTGTGATGGTTGTCAGTCTCCAAGATCTTAATATCCAAGCATTCAAAAAAAAAAAATGCGTAGAAATCAATATTAAGGCGTGAAATAATGTGGAAATCTTGCCTGCACACCTTGTCTGCTGCTAAAGAACCACCACCTCCGTTAAGCAGCCTTTGGCTCCCTCCAGGCGGGCGGTGGTGTCACCCAGAGCGGGTAGTTTGGGTAGCTTGGATCGCTTCCTCTGCACGCTCTTCCATGACCTGGCCACTCGGCAGCTTGCTTTTTGTACCCATCAAGTCTCCGAACGACATGAGTGAGGTCCATTTCGTTTGGCGGCGGGGCGGGGGGTTGGATGTGTACCTTCTCACCACACTACTTATCTACACTTTGAAGATGGAAAGACCCTCTAAGTTATGTGTACTTGGGTGTTTTGGCATTGTGTGTTCTGTGGAACAGAGCCTTTTGGTAGGCTGTCTGGTTGGCCCTCAGGTTGGGGTTTGGGAGGCTTGATAGTGACCATCTCACTGCAGCCTGACCCCGGGCGCCCTGGGACCTGGCTTCTGACCCTCTTCAGGCCTTTCCTCTGCACACACACCTGGGCCACAAGCCCCACTGGCTGGAACCACTCTGCCCCGTGCGTGCCCCCGCTTTGCTGCCTCTGTAGTGCCCCATGCCCTGTCTCCCACGTTTGGTCCGGGCTGTTCTGAGGTCACTTAATGCTGTAATGATGACGATGTGCATTTTTTTTTTAAAGATTTTTATCTGACAGCGAGTGCACAAGCAGGGGGAGCGGCAAGCAGAAGGTGAGGGAGAGGCAGGCTCCCCACTGAGCAGGGAGCCCAATGCGGGGCTCCATCCCATGACCCTGGAATCATTACCTGAGCCGAAGGCAGACGCCTAACTGACTTAGCCATCCCCGCACCCCAATACATGCATTTTTAATAGAAAATATAAAAATCCTAATAATACCTGTTAAGCCAGTAGGTGTCCCAATCCATGCTAGCATGTTTGTTCATCTTTGACATGGAACCAAAACAGACACCTCACTAGCTCAGTGACATATTTGATCATTGCTTATTTTCTGCAGAAACTCAACAAAGAGGTAAATCTGTACATTTGAAACAAAGCTCTATGAAACCTGCCTCCTTAGAAAATAATTGGGAAGATTCGGGAAATCCCGACCAAAATTACAACTGGCGGGCAGTCAGAAATCCATCATCTGTACGTATAAGGGACAGTTAGAGTTTCAGGAGGTGCCGACCCTGCATTCACCTTTGTAATACAGCCTGCTTCCCGCCAGCAGGTGGATGTAGAAACTGGATGCCCAGCCCCACTTGGGATCATCTTTCCTGTTAACTTACTGAGGTCAAGTCCAGACATGCCCCTGGGGTGCTGATGTCATCCCCAGAAAGAATCTGGCCAGAGCTGTGGCTGTGATTGAAGCTTTATTACAGGGAAGTCACAAATCACAGGGAATGAGATTTGGGGTTAGAAATAATGAGCCCCTGACCAGGTATTTACTACAGGGCCAATTCTCTAAGTGACAGTAGTTACGAGCTGTCACTGGTGCAGCGCTCTGAGCCCCGCTGAGGCTCTCGTACACATGATTTCATTTCGTTCTCTCAGTTCTAGAGAGTGGATTTCTGCTCCTCCTCACCTAGGAGCAAGAAAGCACAGGCTTTGCACCGTTACAACTTGCTGAGCAATGTGGGGCTAGCCCCCGCAGATCAGGGCTGCCTGACTCCGAAGCGTCCTGCCCTCGCCCACCACGCTCCTGTACGTGAGCACCCTGTAGGCTTCCTCTCGTCGTCTCCAGAAAGAGGGTGTGGAACTCAGCAGTGCTTCCCTACCTGGGTCCACAAGAGCTTCACGCTGTCTGAGTAGTCTGAGAAACCTGGATGGAACTAGTTTAGAAAGATGCCCAGCTAATTAAAATGACGTGTCTGGGCAGTAATGACAGCAGCTCATGGTGGCGACACTGATCATCTCCCACTCATTAAAAAGTCAGATTGGCAATTATAAATATTTTTCTTCGGACGCTTGCTTCGTAAATGGCCTCTTCTGGTGCAATCTTTGGAAACGTAGTGGGAAAAAAACTTAGTCCGTGTGGTCCGTAGGGATGCAGATATTAGGAGCCTCCAAAGCCTCTCCCAGGTCGAGTCCGAGAGACCCAAGGAGAGCAGCGTTTTAGATTCGCGGAGTCGGGGTGGGCCTTTGAGGGTCACCCAGCAACCCTGTCTCCCTAACACGCAGCGACATCCAGCCTCACCTTCCCGCTTCCAACCGTGGGGAAGGCGTCCCCCTCAGGAACCTAACTGTTCTTCTGTGGTGGACACCATCGCTGTCACACTGCGGACATTCAGAAGAGTGACAGGACATGGGGAGCAGTGTCCTTGTCCTCTAACAAAGGGTCTCTTCTCCCATCACTTATGTTAAAAGTTCCAGAAATACCAGCCATGAGCCGTTGTAATATACCTGGCCACAATCCCTTAGGTTTGTATAGCACGTGGTAGCACTCTTACCTGACATCATTAACTTTTTTGCAAAACGTAGACACTTTGAGCTGCGTTGTGTCGGCGAGTCAGTAGGCAGTGGTAGTCAGGGACTTGGCCCCCCCGACCCTGGGAATGACCATCTGGACGCAACCGCATCCTCCAGCTTCTGCCCGGTTCCCAGCCAAGCTCTGGAAGTTGGGGTCAGAGGACAGCCACTGGGCCCTCTCATGGTGTGTTGACCAGCATGAAATGATCACCGGAAGCAGCCCTCAGAGATGACAGGACCCATTAAAAATACCTTCGGGGGGCACCTGGGTGGCTCAGTCATTAAGCATCTGCCTTCGGCTCAGGTCATGATCCCGGGGTCCTGGGATCGAGTCCCACATCGGGCTCCCTGCTCCGCGGGGACCCTGCTTCTCCCTCCGCCTGCCACCCCCCCCCCCCGCTTGTGCTCTCTCCCTCTCTCCCTGTCAAATAAATGAATAAAATCTTAAAAAAAAAAATACTTTGGGCCTCTACGGTGTGAGGCGGCACATGCCTTAGCGAGAGGCCTCTTCTCTTGGAGCTAAAGGTGTTGGGCCACATGGTGTAACTGGCATCACCCTTCCCAGCCCCCCGGCTGCGTGTGACAGCCGACGCCGGACATGGCTCCCCCTCCAAGCTCACCCTTTGAGGCTTAGCATTGAAAGCAGATGAGAGAAATTTTGAAAACAACGTTCAGGAAGATGTTCCCTCAAAGCGCAGGAGATGATTTGGATGACAAGAAGAGGGTTTGTTTTTCTTCACATCTTTTCCAGGCCCTTTTTTTTTTTTAAGATTTTATTCGTTTATTTGAGAGAGAGCACGAGTGGGTGGGGGGGAGGGGCAGAAGGAGAGGGAGAAGCAGAGAGCCCAACGTGGGGCTCGATCCCAGGACCCTGGGATCATGACCTGAGCCGAAGGCAGACGCTTAACCAACTGAACCCCCCCCAGGCGCCCCTGGGTCATTTTGTAAATTGTACATGAGAACCCCAAATGGCTACGATTGGCAGTTTCAGGCCGTGTGCTGAAGGAACCCCTCCCGGCATCACCAGGGATTGAAGTTCCTGCGTAGAGTGCGGGCCTCCTGTAACCACACACGCTACGATGCAGACATTCCTCGGGGTGGGGGGTCAGGTAATCCCCCACTGTTGTACTGTCATCTGCTGCCTCTGAAGGGCGGGATGGGGGGCACCGGGCAGTGGGAAGGGAGACCCCATTGGCAGGTGGGAAAGAAGGCAGATAAATGAGCTCGGTGACCTGAAACACCCCCTGATCGGCTGCCAGGGGACCAGCTAAGGTTCCAGGAGGGATGCTTGATCGAGCCGCGCTGGTCACCGGAGCTGGGCATGGACCCAGGGCCTCAGTCCCTGGGAATATCTCTGTGGTGGCTCTTAGCCTGTTGGGTGCATCCTGGGTGCTCTATGCCCTTGCGGGTGTGCTGAAGGGTTTCGTTAAATAATTTAGGGTTAAATAATTCCTTGGTGCTAATAATGATAACCTTGGAGAAGGAGGCAACGGATGCACTGTTATCTTCTCAACTTAAAACTCTAGGACAATAAAATAATAGTCCCGAGGTCCTACATCTGGAAAGTGAGAGATCTGGAGGTGGCTCTAGAAATCACTTTGTCTTTCACCATCCCTAGCTTATCTCTCCTTTACCAGATGAGGAAGACAGGAAGTCTTCATAAACAAATACTTGTACGTCCTAAGAAAGGATGCCCATTCCAGTCCCAGACGCTAAGCTGCAGCCCAGCCACGTGGGGTTTGCGTCAGTCTCTGCTCTTCCAGGGTGACGCACAAATCAGGGCGGAGGCCTGAGGGACGCATGGAGTCTTTCTGGCCGCTAATGCACAAAACCGTCTTCGAACCCCTGGGCAGGCCAAGCCCACTGGAAGGAGGCATTGGCTTCATCAGGTAGATTCAGAAACTCCTGAAGAGTTGTCCATGTGTGATCAGTGCTTGAGTTCATACGGCCACATCCCCGCACACCTGCCGGTTTGGGGATGGTCTTCCAGGAGATGTGTCATCTTAAAGCTCATATTACGGAATCATTGTTTAAGCGATGCCTTCAGCCATATGCAGAAATAGAGGTGCTTTAAAGCAGAACGGCTATTTCCATGTTATGTTAAAAAAAAAAAAAGAATGCAGGCATTAGGGATTGCCACATACGCTCTTGTAGAGCTGCCTTCTGAGTGGGTCACTTGTGACCTCTTGGTTTCCTTCTCAAGTAGGAAAGAACCATCTGGTAGCTGTGGATGTGGCTTCCTTGAGGATTTTGTTTCCGGTTTTGTTCACCACCACATCCACCGTGCCCAGCACGTCATGCATGCTTGGAATCCATTCCGTAGACAGGGACTTCCGCTGAGGGGCAGAGCTGGGCGTCCTCATGGAACCCCCGCCCGGGGACCTGAGGGACCCAGGACTTCTTGTCTCCAGTGAGAGCCTCTCAAGTTTCCCTTCCAGTCAATTTGAAATAGGTCATTTCTCTACCTAATTGGACTCTCATAGTCTTTGCATCTGAAAATCTTATTTGTACCAGCCCTGCGGGCACTGGCAGGATCTCAGGAAGTGTTCCAGGTGACTTGCAAAGCCTCTCAACAAGCAGCAGTGCAGGAATGATGTATGTTCTTCCCTTGCCTCGGAGTAAGGCCGGGGCTACATTCTCAGAGAGGGACCGCGGTGGGGCCAGTTCCGAATGTTGTCAGGATGTGGGAACATTCTCCACATTGCGCGTGAGACACAGAGAAAAGCAACACTCAAAATAGACTGTTCTGAAAACTCGGTGCATAGCGCTCAGATCCGTTCCTGCTCAGACTTAATTCCCTTGGACTCTTAGGCGCCCAAATGGCAGGAGCCCCTTTGTCGCAAGTGGTTTACGAGTGGTCTGAAGATGGCTGAGCTGCCCTCCCCTTCCAGCCGAATCAGAAACCTCGAGTCGTGGCTAGGCTCAGAGTTTAGAGTCTGGTTCCAGACCCCACCCTGCCTGGCCCAAACCTTTCCTTGTTTTTAAATTTTTTTTCCTGACACTAACTCTCCTTTTGTTTCTTTTGCAGAGTTGGATTACAGAAACCCCTATGAAATTGAATATATGGAGAAAATCGGCTCCTCCTTACCTGTAAGTCCTGCTGCAGACTAGCAGGGGACTTGCTTTCCCTCCCTGTCTCGCGAAAATGCAGGCGCTGGCCTCCTCCTGAGCTCGGGTCCCAGATCCAGGGTCCTCTGTGCCCGCAGCGTCCTGGGTGCACAGTAGGGGTGAACTGGGTGCACAGTAGGGGTGAACTGGGACTGAGGGCTGGAGGTTTGTATTCGGCCCACTTCACATGGCATTTTAAGTGAGCAAAGAGAATGCAGTTAGGCTTCCTGCATCATTACTTACCCAGACTGAGAAAGAACTAGTCAGAGATTTCCTTAAAAGGGTGTAGCAGTGGTTTGGTGGTTTTTAAGGTGTCCTATTACCTGTTTCCTTCAAATTAATTGCTTTATGTAACTGAAGATCGGCTCTTCTGGCAAGAAGTCTCTCTCCCCCACACCCGCCATCCCTTTCGCTTTTAAGTGGCTACGACGGGTAGCTGTCCTCCCTGGCTCCCTGTCTACTGCCTGGAGGGCACTTGGTTCCGAGCATGGCCTCTTGTGCTGTGCCTTTGTCCAGTGATGCTGTCCGAGGCCCTGAGGCCCCGAGGCCCCAGAAGGGCTTGCTGTGAGACTGTTGGCCCGGACATACTGCTCCTATCTTTATCTTTCTTTGCATCATTTGTAGATGCTGGGCTTGCGGCTTCTGACCCGCAGTCAGCAGCCCATGCTGGAGGCGCTCACCACACTGGACCATCATGCTCGTCCCCCCACCCCCCATCTGACTGTGGGCACTGCCTAGGCTGGGGGCTTGCCTACCCCTGTGTTTGTACCCAGTGGCCGCATGGTTGCCCATCCAGACGGGTGGCCAGTAAATGCTGGTGGACTGAACAGCGTGCAGCACCCCGACACCATTATGATCCCTCTCCCCTCGACACTGTTGTCAGCAGCACACGCTCACAACTTCCCTCCCCTTTTCCTCTCCTCTCCCCTGGCCAGCACTGGCTTGCTCCTCCCTTCTGGGTGGCCCCAGAAGAATGGAGGCTTTTCCCTGATGAGTTATTTGTTCTGTTGGAAAGAGCTGTGGTTTTTATTTCTGTCACATGTTCAGGCCACCTGTAGCCGAGCTGACTTGTGTGCCTTTGATCCCTGCAGCAGGACGATGACGCCCCGAAGAAGCAGGCCCTGTACCTTATGTTTGACGCTTCTCAGGAGAGCCCGGTCAAGTCTCCCCCGGTCCGGACGTCGGAGTCCCCGACGCCGTGTTCAGGGTACGGCTTCCATGAGGAGAGTGTTTCGGGTCGGGCTCTGAGCACCGTGGCACTGCTGTCCCGGCGTGGTTTCATCTGCATTGATGTATTCAGGGAGCCCACATCCGGGTCTCTGAGGATCCCTACAGACATACAAGCGGGGTGGGGGTGTTACCGGTAAGGCTACCCTTTGTCCGGTTAACAGCTGAATGCGTGAGCCCCTTCAGTCACGCCCCCCCCACCCAGTGCACACGCAGTGTTGTCTTGTGGTTTGTCCCCTGGGGAGGCAGCGTGCTGCAGCATTCAGCCCCAGAGTCCCACTTCCACCCCTTACTGACTGTGTGACCCGATGCAGGTTATCTGACCCTGCTGTGCTGCCGTCTCCTCGTGGGTAAAATGAGGGTAGTCATAAAACGGGCCCTGTAGGAATTTCATGAGGACTAAATGAGGCTTTCAGTCTTCCAGGCACCCCCCCAACTGTGCAGTGGGCCTGGGGGTGCCTGTCCTCCAAAGCCACCGGGAGGATGAAACAGAGAGGCTATAAGGAAAGCGAAGTGCTGGGTAGACGTTCACTCACTGTTAACGTGGCTGTGAATTAGCACTGGTTATGGTCCTGTTCTGAGCTGTGTGGTGCTGGGTGGGGTAAGGGAGGGGCACCGCTCTGGGGCTGCGACCCTCCCATCCCCTTAACTGCCCCTCTCTCTGAGTGGGAGGGAAAGCTCTTGCTTTGATTTCCCGAACTGACTTCCGAATCCACCCAGGGTATTGAGAATGACGGTGGTGATGTCCCAGCAATAGTCATGGTGACGGGGACCATGTCAGGTGCTTCACATGCAGGCAGTATCTCCCTTGACCTTCACCGAGCCCTGTCTCATCTCTTGTCCTACGGAAAAAGAAACTGAGATGCAGGACACATGTTGTCGCATGTTCAGGCCACCTGTAGCCGAGCTGGCTTGTGCCTTTGTGCCAGGGTGCACGCCGAGGGACGGGCAGTCTGCTTAACTCCAGCTTGTGCCCTTAGCCAGTGGCGTCTGTGCTCCCGACCCTCCCTTGTCAGCAGGCCCTGGGGTGGGGCTGGACCACCCTCTCCCTCAGGCTCTCCAGCCTACAGGCTCCCAGGCCACCCAACACCCGGCCCAGTTTCCCTCTGGGAACGCGGCTCCGGAAGTGCAGGATCCCTTGGGATGGTGATTGCGTCGGGGCATCCTGGTCAATTTCAGTGGGCTTTCCAATGAGACAAGTAAAGATGCTCTTTTCTTCCTCAGGTCAAGTTTTGAGGAAACTGAAGCCCTTGTCAATGCTGGGGCAAAGATCCAGCATCCTGTCACACGAGGACTGGCTCCCAACCAAGAGCCACACTTGCAGGTGCCAGAGAAATCCTCCCAGAAGGAGCTGGAGGTCATGACCTTGGGCACTGCTTCAGACGCGATTGAAATTGTAAGTGGGGTCGGAAGGGCCCAAGATCACTGGGGCCGAGGCCTGGGCCAGCTGGGTCCCATCACCAAAGGGTTCAGCCCTTCAGAGCAATGGCGTGGGCTCCCCCCCCCCACCGCCCCCCGTCCCTGGACCACAGAAGCCAGCCTCGGAGACCCCACACCCTAGCCATGAGAGAAAAGCTCTTCATCTTCACCAGTGTGGTTTGGAGTTCTTACCTCACTGCTTTATCTGCCTTCGGGGTTCTTGATTTCCACTTTAGTCCCTTGGGGCTGAACTATTGCTTTGGAGGTGACATCAGTCTGTACCCTGCTTCTCCGTACTCTAGGTCAGGGGGCAGAGAATGGTAGGGCAGGGGACACCCCTTTTGGGAAACACTTGGTTTTCCTGGGCGTTGGTGATGAGAAGTCCCTCCTGTTTACAGACCTATTTATACCCCTCCCTTCCCAACCCCTCTGGAGCCTTGCAGAGCAAATAGACCCCCTGAACATCTAAAATGGGCCATCCTTCTAGGTGAAGTTTTACTTTTCTCTCTTTTACCTCCTTCCCAGCAGTCCCCAAGAGGGTTTGAAGCCATTGACTTAGTTACTTTTAGTGTTAACTTTTGTTGTTCTATATTAGTAGACCATTCATTTCTCACGCATCAGATATTTATTGAGCACCTGCTGTGTGGCAGTTAAATACTTGGAAAATATTAGTAAGCAAGAAGAAAGTAGATGTGACTCAGTCTCTCAAATACACACTATGGAAGAACTCATGCATGACTCAACTTCTACAAAGTTGACCTTGGAGTCTGACCTTGGAGTCTTCCCAGTCTACCCAGAAACACTTTTTCATTTGAAATCGTCTTTCTGTTATTTAGAAAATGACCTTTATCAAAACCTTTGACACTTATACTTGAAGGTGTTTTCTTGATGAGTTATATTATGTTTGGAAAACCCATCAACTGCCTTGTCTCCCCCACTGAGATTTTCAAATAAATAAGTACATGGTGACTTTCCTCCCACCGACTGGTTAGGGAGCGAGGGTGGCGTGGGGGTGGGCGGGCACCTAAGCCTGTGCTTCCGGGGCGGGGGGTGGGGGTGGGTGGGGAGCCTGTCAAGCTCAAGATGCCCATCGTCAGCAGGTGGGAATTAGGATGAAAAGGAAAGTAGTGGCACCTAATTAATACTCTCCTTAGCCTTAAGTCAGAAATGTCCAGCAACTAGGTGCGTGGTCCTTGCTCGGAATCGATGTCACTCTGTGTCTCCTCTATTTTTCCTCTGTGTCCTCTGCCGGCCTTCAGACAGCTCCTGAGGGCTCCTTTGCCTCTGCTGACGCCCTTCTCAGCAGGCTAGCTCATCCAGCCTCTCTCTGTGGTGCGCTTGACTATCTGGAACCCGACTTAGCAGAAAAGAACCCCCCAGTATTTGCCCAGAAACTTCAGGTTTGTAGCCCACGTGTGACCTTTTGGGAGTTTGTGAAAACCTCAGTAGAGAATGAACTCCGAACCCCAAATGCAGTGAGGCAGGATCTAACGAGGTATTGCTGGAAATGCTCCAAATGAAATCCCTTTCCCCTCAAAGACTGATGTATGGGTGTTCTTGATCCAAGATGCCAAAATAATATAAATTGTGTGATTACATATGGGACAAACCATTTGTATTTCAAATGGGAAATTGGACCCAAACAGTCATTTTTCAGAAGTTTTGATAACCCCAAAAGCAGTTTCTGTGATTTATTCACAGAACCAAGGGTATTAGATCACCATCGAGTCAAGCTGTTTATATATATGCGAGGGGAGGCTATCTCAGACTCCCATTGAGATAACATCTGGACTCGGTCTCACATCTGGAACCAAAACAATTAGTACTCTGTGCCTTAAACTTGACAACTTAATTTGATACCCTCTAGACTAAGACCTTCAGAGCAAACCTGGACAGATTGTTCACAGTCATTTGAGAATGCAAAACCATTCATGGAAACTGTTGACCATCTTGACTTAATTATAAGAAACAAAAAGGAAAAAAATCGAAGGAAACAGTGCAGTAAAAATTTTGATCCCATTATAAAAATCATCTCATATTTGACCACACGATCCTTCCCGACAGACATTCCGAAGGGCAATTACAGAAAAAAAAAAAAAAAAAAGAAAGAAAAAAAATTAAACACTTATTTCATGATCTGCTGAGGTGTTAATTGTGCAAGAAAGCCAGACGTGTGTTTTTCCTGAGTACCTGTCATGACACATTCACGTGGCACATTCATTTCTTGGATGTGGGACACATTGACATCCTGTCTTGATGCATTTCCCCTGCGATTTGCTCATCCCCCACCCCTTGGACAGGAGGAGTTAGAGTTTGCCGTCATGCGGATAGAAGCCCTGAAGCTAGCCAGGCAGATTGCCCTGGCTTCCCGTAGCCGCCAGGACACCAAGGTACGGGTTTGCTGCTGCCGTGCGCTGCCTCTTGAGAATGTGGTGTGGTCCAGAAGTTCCTTTGCTAACCACTGGCTAAGCAGGCAATGCCAGGGTCCTACAAAGTAGCATAAAATTTTCTGAAATGCTAAAAGCATAACTCTCACATATATAGACGCTGAGCACATGTCTAAGATCTGCTTACCTCGGTAATGAAGGGAACAGCAGGGTGGTAAAGCAGGTTGAATGGAGGAGAATGGGAGAACCCGATACAGAGTCAGTGGAACAAAGAGGTCCAGCATCTTATTGCAGTCTTACTGCAAAGTTCAATGTAAAACTGGTTAATGCTGGCTAAACAAGACAATGGACTATAACCTTGGAGGCTTTTTGTTTGTTTGTGTTCTGCAAAAACCATTTGCTTCTCTACTGAACAAAAATCATTTGCAAATTTTCTGTTTTCTACTAGTGGATATCTAACCGCACTGAGCCCGGACCCTAATCAATAGTAAATAGTGAAACCGAGACCTTCCTGAAACCTCGGACGGGCCCTTAGGCCAAAGTCAATAGAATTACAGAAAAGCAACCCTTTTCTTATAAAGGGCAGATGGTACATATTTTAGGCTTAGCGGGCCATCTGGTCTCTGCCACAGCTACTCTGCTTTGCCGTTGTAGCTCAAAGTAGCCACAGATAATGTGTAGATGAACGGGTGTGGCCATGTTCCAGTAAAACCCTCTTTACCAAAGAGGACATTGGGCCATTTGGCCCGTCCGCCATCGTTGGGCAAGGCCCGCTCTAGAGTAGAGTAAGATACTGACAGAGCATGCAGAAATCTTTTTGCCTAGCTTTTAAGTTTGGAGTAATTTTTCTTAACAATTTGAATGAGTTGCTGAAGGTGTGTAAAACTGTGGCCCCTCTGAGGTTCAGGCCGCCCCTCCAGGCTGATGGGGAGCTGGGGCCACCCCCATGCCGCACCCTGCACTGGGCAGCCCAGCACGCTCTGTGGCCTTGAACGTGTTGGTGAGCCTCTTTCGACCTCTGTTTTTGCAGCTGTGAGATGAGGCTACTAACGGTGCGTTTGCAGGTTTACTGTAAGGGCTGCAGATGCTGTGTGGAGGACGGTGCCGTGCCTGGCACACAGTAGGTGTGCAGTAAAGGACAGTGGCTCTGGGTAGCAAAGCTTCACTTTTGCCGTTGTTACCGGATTGGACACTCACAGCATCTCTACTATAGGGGCGGGGTGGGGGGAGGGTCCAGGTCCCATTTTACAGATGGGGAAGTGGAGTCATGGAACGGGTCCGAGGTCTGAGAGTGATTTACTGACCCAGCGGGAACTGGGACTCCAGGCTCCAAATGGGAGCCCCTTGCCTGTCCCATCTCAAGGAACAGCTCACTTGGTACAGGACCAGGAGTTCATGGGCTGCTCCTGCTCATGTGGTTCCCCCGGGAACTGTCCGCAAGGTGGGGGGGCTCCCTCCCAGAGAATCTCTCGGTGAAAAGGTGGTCACACTGGGGGTGTCAGACTGGGAATGCTGGGACCCGGGGCAGGGACGAGAACGTTAATACACGTTGCTGACGTCCTTGTTCTTGCTGTTAACCCATGAGCTTGGGTTTAGTTTCCATGAGAAAGATTTTTAGAAAGCATCAAGCAGTGAGGATTTGTTTCCCCACTAGATTTATTTCTTGATATCTCTGGGGAGTGGCTTAAGGACAGAATGAATGGCTTCAGGTCTGGCCACCGTAACTACAGTATATTCCTGTCCAGAAGTTTGAGGCAGGATTGAGCATGTTCTAGTAAGAGTTCAGACGGAGTGTGGAATGTTCTGGAGTGCCTGGTGCCCCCCTGCCTCCTTCCTCTGGGGACGCATGAGAGAGGACAGTCGGCAAATATTGGCTGGCCCATTGACTCCCTGTAAATGATAGTCAGTTCTCAGACCCCATGTCCCACTTTTGATGTAGAAAATATTGAGACGTGAATCCACTGTGTGTGGGTCGGAGGGACAGACCCAGCCACCTCCTTATGTATTTCAGAAGGATCTGCTAGAAGAAACGTTGGTGGGGGTAACGCTGTCTGAGAGAGTAAGGAGCATTTTTCTCTGCCATGGTAACTTGTACCACTTTTTAGGTTCCTGTGGGTTTCTTGCTCACGTAGACGCTTGATCGCCCTTCCCTGCATTGGAAATTGCTGATGTAGACAAAGAGAAACAGCAGCTGTGTATCCAATTTGCTCTTTTTTCTGCCCATAAATTTCAGCTGCAGGTGACATTAGCCCAGTCTTTTTGGCAGCATGGTCTTAAACTGTTGCTAACACAAAAATGAAATCACTCGGAATAAAAAGAAATCACTTGGAAGGCTGAAAGCAACATGAAATATGGTGGCGGTGGTTTCTGGTCACTCCTTGAGCAGCTTCACTTGACATTTCCCTGTTGACTGAAAGCCAGCTGAGCGGACCTTTGAAGGACCGCGGTGGGGTTTCCTGTCTTCATTAGTCAGAAAACGTGAAGAGATGAGGAAGACTCCGTGGGGCTGGGGTTATTGGGCTGGAGCTCCTTACTGTGTCTTCCACACACTTCTGACTCAAGTGAATTCAGTTGTATCCTCCTGGGGTTCATCTGACCAGGGTGGCCGGCTGTATGGTACAACAGCCCCGAATGTAAACAGGATGGATAGAACGGCAATGTCCTTTCTCTGTGGCTTTGCGAGGGGTACAAGCTGTGTGGGGGATGGATTTAATCCGTGTATAAACAGATACTTGTGGCGATCCCTAAAGCCATTGCCCTTTCTGGATGAGGGGACCCAGATATAAAGAATGAAGGATGTGTCTGGGTCATGTGGGAACAGGGATCATACAAATGGCAAGCTTCAGGACCAGAGGAAGTCCCAGAAGCAGGCCCTTGGGGAGGGAAAGGGTGCTTAATCTTTCTCCTTCTCCAGGAGTCCTGGCCGATAAAGGCAGACCTGGATTTTACCGGTGGGGGGGGGGGGGAGACACGGAGTTAGGTCTGGGACAACCTGAATTGGTGAGTGACCTGACGGCAGGGGCTCCTTCCCTAGTGCTGTGTCCAGAAACCACCCACCACCCCCGGCATTTCACAACGTGATGTCTGAAGAGCAGGGACAGAGGCCTGGCGCCTGGGTTTCAGCTTCTTTTTGCCGGTTTGGGGAATTGGCGGTCATCGCTCACAGCCTGTGGTGAGAAGGCTGGAGGCCATGTCTTGACTCAGCGGGAAGGAATGGCCAGTTGGGTGGCTGGTGGTGCCTCCTGTGGGCCTTAAGTAGGGCACATACTGAGTGTCTTCCTCCTGTTTGTCATCCCAAGCTGCTGTCAAATTTGGATGCTGCAGCTCCCCAAGGAGAGACCCCTCTCCTGCCCCACCTGGCGCCACGTAGCCTGGATACCCCCCAAGGGCCCAGCCTGGTCCACTCTCCATGACCATGGCCCAGCTTGCTGTGGTTCCACCTTGGTTCCAGGTGTCAGCTTCCCCTGAGGCCTAGCAACAGGGAACCAGGCATGAGGAGGACTGTGAGCCTGGGTAAGTGGCAAGACTGCAAGGCCAGAAAGGCCCCAGGCATGCGGTCTGCAGGTCTGAGGGTGATGGCACCCTCAGGGTCCCCTGAGGGACCCAGATGTGAGTGAGTGGATTGAGGGTTTGGAAGTTGGTTCCAAAGGCTCATGCTCTTTCCGAGTCGTGGCCATTTCACATTTTAATTTGTGATTCTCTTGGCCTCTGGGCTCCCCCAAAGCAGCCAGTGGGGCCTTATGCAGGAGAAGCAAAGCTTAATCTAAGCCTGATGTTAAAATATCAGCGAGAAACAAACCTATCTCTGTTAGAAATGATTCTTGGTTGTAAGAGAAAACCAGGGTGTGTACCTTGAATTTCATTAACATGCAGATACTCCAGGCAGTAATTCAAATGGATTCTGAAGTCATCTGTTCCTTTATTGAAAACACCAGGTGGCTGGGGTGAAAGGTGATCATGAGTCACTGTATGTGGTGGTTAACCATTGTGTTTACTTAGAAAGCTCATTAACGTATTTATTTTTCATTCCCTTCCTTGTTGTACAAAGGACTTAGGCAGCTTTAAGATCATCAGTTCCTGCACTGGTCGGATTTCGGTTCTGCCCAGCATGATAAAGTTAGTTGTAGTTCATTTCCCCTCGCACTTCAGAGAGCTGGCTTGTTTGGAGTCAGAACTGAATCTCATTCTGGGAAATCTTTTGGCCAAATCCCTTAAATCTTCCATTTTTTTTTTCATCTTCCAAAGGCCCACGATTCGTTAGATGGTGTCTAGTGTTCTTTCCATTTTGAAATTTTATTCTAATTTTTTTCAAAGGACACATTATTTTACTTAAACAGTGACAGCAACAGTTTTGTTGGGGTTTTTTTTTTTTCCCCAATCCTCTTCAGAATCTTTCCTCTATGAATTTCCTCCACGAAGACAAATAGCGCCTTATTGTCTGGGTATAATTTTCTTTTTTAAAAAAAAATTTTTACAAGATTTATTTACTTATTTGTTTGAGAGAGAGACAGAGCGCGAGCAGGGGGAGGGGCAGAGGAGAGGGCGAGCACGTCCTAAGCAGACTCCCGGCTGAGCGCCGAGCCCAAGGAGGCCCTTGGGCTCGATCTCATGATCCTGAGATCATGACCTGAGTCGAAAACAAGACCTCTGGGTATAATTTTCTATTTACTTCCTGAGAAGCTTCCCATATGACAAGTAGAGCCTTGAAAACATTTCAGACAGCAGAGATGAGCCCATGCACGGGAGGGGCTCCACACCTATGGTCTGATGGCATGCTTTCTTCTGAGAGGTCAGCCCGCCTGCTTCTGGGCACTGGTCACCTGCAGTGGAGGCTGCTTTAGGACCTGAGGATGGAAAGATCATGGCATCCCATCTGACAGGACAGTGTGTCTCCCGGTCCTTCAGTGTGCTCCCTCCCCTCTCTGATGGGAGTAATCATTCGGGTCCCCCTGTGCAGGGAGCCCAAATACGCAGGGCCGGGCAGGGCCAGTGAAACCCAAGCCCACCTTTAGGACAGCCAAAACCATGTCATTCAAACATGCATGTGTACAACTAACTGGGCCTAACTCTGTCATCTCCAGTCCTATCCATTAAATTTCTGCCTGAGTTTTCTAAGTCATTTCAAGGTCATGTTCTCTGATCCAGTAGTGGGGTGAGGTTGCCTGTCCTTGCGATGGAAGAGAGAGTACCTTCCGGGGTGCCCCCTCCCCCTCATTGTTGGGTCTTTAATCTTGTCTGCTTCCACTTCCAAGACCAGTCCTCCCTGTTCTTTCTCCACATCTCTCTTTCTCCTCCACCTGGGTGTGGTGTTCACTGCTCACTTCTCATCCATTTCCCCAGGAAGCTGCAGTCACACCCTGACTGGCAGATCACCATTACTCCACATCGAATTGGACTCTAGGAATCAGGTTTGCCGTGGCAGCCATGCCAGCACCAGGAGGTTAATGCATAGGACTGAGAGTGTGCTTGGTTTGGAGTCTCTTGCAGTAGAATTAGACCGCTGGCCCCCGCTGTGCTGGTTGATGATGCTCCTAACATGGCATTTCAAGTGTGATGGAAATGGCTGAGCTCTTTGCGCAAAGGGAGGAAGAGTAACCGCGGTCCTCTCCTCTCTCCCTTCCAGGAGGCTAGTGGCTGTCTTGGGCAGTCAGACCAGTGTCGGTTGTGGGTGGGGGTGGGGAATCCCACCACTTGTTGAGGGCCTTACCAACAAATGTGGATATTGTCATTGATCCAGATTTCAATTTTGCCGTTGACACAGCAAACTTAAGGCAACGTAGCTGCAAAGTAACTCTTCCCTTGAGGCATCCAGAAACTAGCTTTTGTAGGTGACGTTGGTTGATAGGTTCCGTAGGCCTTACGCTTTGTATGAGCGTGTCCTTTCAAACAGAGCTAAACACGTGCCCCACCCCCCTCCAAACTGAAATGCAGACAGTCTTACAAAAATGATCAGATTTGCAGTTATTCAAAACTAGGCAAATGCAGATGAGAATTCAGCATCGTTTACCATCAGGCTTTTATTTTGGAAGTGGAGCCTGCTGGAAAATGGCCTTGGTTCTTAAGCACTATGCCTAAATGCCTCTGCGTGTGATAAATGGCAGTGATAAGCAAGCACCAGACATGCTTGACTCCCAAAGTGGGGAGTTGGGGAGGCCTCTGCTATTAGCTCCTTTGTCTGCCGGTGCAGGTGCAAAATGATCAATTTCCATAGATTGTATCTGGCCTTTCCCCGCTCATCAGTCCAAGCATTTTCTCATACTTTTGATGTTCTTTGTTTCAAAACCATACAACTGACCCATTCACGAGAGGCTGAATGCAAATCCTCTTTGCCATAGGAGTCATATTAACTTTTTTTTTTTTTTTTTAATTAAAAACCATTCCACAGAGAGAGGCTGCTCACCCAACAGATGTCTCCATCTCCAAAACAGCCTTGTACTCCCGCATCGGGACCTCCGAGGTGGAGAAGCCCGCAGGCCTTCTGTTCCAGCCACCTGACCTGGACTCCGCACTCCGGATTGCCAGAGCAGAGGTATTATGGCATGGGTGTGGCTCAGGGGAGGCTGGCTCTGGTTTCTCTGGGAAAGCTCCAGTTTCTGCCAAGTGTAAATAAATAAATAAATACACACACACACACACACACACACACACACACACACACACACACCCACGATCCACAAGGCCAGCATCTTTGGACACAGTCTTTGTCCTGCAACCACTGTGGGCAAAGACGGGTAGCAAACCATCTTTGATCTTCCTCGACACCATTGTTTAATGAGCCTCTGTGCTCTGTGGCCTTGTTTGATTTATAACAGAAAGCATATGCCTTTAGTTGCTCCCTGGTGGGGCATTGTGAGAGTCTGATATCTGGTTTATTTCTGTCTCATGCTCCGGGAAATTCTCTCAATACAATTACTGTTTGGTGTAGGAAGTTTTAATTCAATGTCGCCTTATCTCGGGTCTGTGAATTGCTCAGATCTGAATTCAGTCCTCTGGGGTCCATCTCTCTCTTCTCCCTGATGCCAGATCATAACCAAGGAGAGAGAAGTCTCGGAGTGGAAGGACAAATATGAAGAAAGCAGGCGGGAAGTGATGGAAATGAGGTCAGTCGTGATGCTTCCTGGTACCTGGGGAGATGCTTACCTGTGCTCTCGTAACAGCTCGTGTGGTCTATGGATAGGGTCTTCCCAAGACTTAACTGTTCTTCATGAGACAAGGTTTATATTTTCATAGATGTATTTTTAGTATTTTTAGATAGTTAGATAAAATATCATGCACCTGAGCTAAATATTGCCAACAAACAAATACATTTGCAATGAAAAACAAATCTCCTTCCCACTCAGCCTCCAATTCCAGCCCCCTCAGGTAGCTGCTATCCACTGTTTCTGGTGTATCCTTCCAAGAATTTTCTGTTTCTGATTGCAAATGTGTGAATGTGTCCCTATACAGACTCCTTTTTTCTTCCAAAGTGGAGAGTGGAAATGTACATTATCCTACACTCTTTTTTTTTTTAATTTAGCACATCTTTTTTTTTTTTTAATTTCTCTACATATGTTAGAGAGAGGGAGAGAGCACAATTGGGAGGGGCAAAGGGAGAGGGAGGGAGAATCTCCAGCAGACTCCCCACTGAGTGTGGAGCCCGACTCAGGGCTTGATCTCACGATTCTGAGATTACGACCTGAGCCGAAACCAAGAGTTGGACGCTCAACCGACTGCGCCACCCAGGCGCCCTTAACTTAGCAAATTTTGGACAGATTTTTATACAACTTGACCTCATTGTGTAACATTTAATAAATAGTCCTTGTACAGTTCTAATGTTAGGAACTTTACCAGTCTCCACGGATAAACAGGTTGTCTCCGGAATTTTGTCTGAATGGTTTATTTCCATTTGCTGCATCTGTAACAGAAGTACAGTAGTCACCACGTAGTGTCTACCACGTGCCATGTGCTGTGCTTCCGGCTGGAGACACACAGTCTCTGTTTCTCCCCACAGCCCTCAAGAAGGGATCATCAGCCCCATCTCACAGTGGAAGGCTCAGAGGGGTTAGGTGACTTGCCCAAGGTCCTGGAGCTTCTAGTCAGAGGAATGTGAATTTGAATCTACTCTTCTGATTCCAAAGCCCAAACTCTTTCCATGGTGCCCAGGGGCCTCCCTCCCTCGTCCCGTCTGATGCACCTTTTGGCCCTTTATTTTCCTCCATGATTCATCATCATCTTAGAAGCTAAGAAACCATCTCTGGGGCTAGAACTTACCCTTGGGATGTGATCTTAAAAACTGTATTGCAGGTGGCATTTTTAAAGAAACTTTGGCCCAGACCTTTGCTTTGGCCATCCCAGGGTCTGGCTGCTGCCACCGCTAAGTCTGAGAACAGCTCCTGGGGGCACAGTTCATTTTCTCCACACACCTGCCTTTCTGCAGCACCAGCTGAACTGACACGTGGATTTTCCAGTTGCAAGGGAAGGTAGGAGTTAGAGCGCGACCATTTTCACAAGACAGAAGATCTGGTGCGATGCAGAAAATCTCTGATAGTCTTGCTTCATTTTTAAGTCTCAAAGTGTGAAAGTAGGGAAGAGATGAATTTTTAAAAGTTGGTTGAAGAATTAGTACATTTACAGCGCACTTAATTGCAATGGCAGCTGCTGGTTAATTATCAGAATCGGCTGTCTTCGTGGCTACCGTTTTAAGTAGTGAGCAAATGATTTAGGTAATCCTATCCCCTGCTTTCTAGGTCAAATAGTATCTTCCTGAAAATTCTCCTTAGTTCCTTCTTCCTCCTGATGTTTTCTGTGACCACTTCTGGACGTGAATCCCAGTGTGCTGTTCACATTCACACTGAGGCCCTGTGCTGGCATCATTTGAAAATCTCTGTCTTTTGTCTTTCTCTCTCTCTCTCTTTTTGTTTTGTTTTGTTTTGTTTTGTTTTGTTTTGTTTTGTTTTGTTTGGTAGGGGAGTGGAGGAGGGAGCAGCATGGCTGTAATTTTTTGCCTGCCCTGAACATGAAAGCGGGGCATGCTGGGAAGGCTAGAAGTTCCACCTCTGGGGGCTCCCCCGGGGGCTTCAGCGGGTGCTGTTTACTCACCAGTGTGGTAGGACTCAGGGGTCACCAACTGGCACAGCTGCACTCGTGTTTGAAGGCCCACATGTCCACCTCTGGAGCCAGACCTGGCCAGGTAAAAATCGGGCTTGGCTCCCTAGCTGCTTTGGGCCTGTTCCTTAGCTCTGTCTGACTGGCCTCGTCTATGGAAAAGGGTGGATCTCAGCGGCTCGGGGCAGTAAGACATACGGGGTGTGAAAAGGCTCCACAGGCGGATGCCTGGATTCGAATCCCAGCTCTGCCGCTGTGTAGATCCTAGAAAGGTTCCTGGATGACCCTGTGCCTCAGTATCCCCATCAGCAATTCTGGGGACCCTCAGGGCACCACCCCTTGGGGTCGCTGTGAGGACGAGATGCAAATACAGTGCCACTGAAGCAGCTTTGGACCACAGGTCTCCCCACACCACTGCAAGGACACATCCCTTACCTGCTGTGGCCCCGCCTCTGTCCTTGGCAGTGACGGGTTTAGACGGTGCAGCCCCAAAGGTCCATTGCTGTTTTGGGATTCAGGGATACAAGGAGGTATTGATTAATTACAGAAAACACGAACTGCTTCTCTGTAGGATTCAGAAAGAACCCAAGTGGGCTCATGGTGTGGTCACTTTTTTTGTTGTGGGTTGGCCCTTGAGCGAGGCACTATCCTTGGGGCCAAGGTCAAGAAGGTCAGTGACAGACATCCAGCAGCTGTGAGGCCTTTGGACTTTGCAGAGTGCCTTCTGCTTTCACTGGCCTATTTAACCTCATTTAATTCCCCCACGATCCTACACAGGGTCTAGGGAAATCCTCACCATACCAGGGAGTAAGCTGAGCCCCCAGTATCTGGGACCAGCTGTTATCAGGGTCCTGAGTCCGTTGGTGGTTAGCAGTTCTTGGTTCTCTTGTGGAGAATAACTAACTATTGGATAATGTAAGTGAAACTCTTGAGGCTTTTTTGAGTTTCCTTCCAGAAGGTTGACTTTGGAAGGAGGGCTTTTTCACTCCCTGGGTCTTTCCACCTGGGGGCAGCAGTGAGGCAGTCTTATAAAGCAGGATCTTAGTGCTTTTGTGTAGCTACGGTTTGGTTGAAGCTATCCAACAAGTGTAACTGTTCCCCATCTCCCCGCCTCCAACACAGGTGACTAAGTAGTGGCCCCTGGGCCTTGAGGAGCTGCTTCTACTCACATGCTATGACGCCAGATGTGTGAGACATTTTAGACAATCCAGATAAAATGTCATGAAGTTCAGAGGAAAAATCAGGGAAGGCTTCCTGGAGGAGATAGCATTTGAATTGGACCTTGAGAAGCAGCTAAGACAGTGAGAGGTGGAAATAGGGCAGGGAAGGTCATGGAGGTGAGAAACCCCAGAGCCAACAAAAACTCATTCGTTCTCATTGAACCACTTGGTTCGTGATGGCGGGGAAGGAGGTAAGCTTGATGAGAGTGATCAGGCTCAGGTTGTGGAGGGCTTGGACTGTCAGACTGAAGACTTGGTCTTATTTTTTTTCTCAGTGGGCAGTGGGGACACATGGAAGGTTTTGCATAGGGGCATGGTGTGGTCAGAGTCCTGCACTAGGAAAATGAACCTCCTTGGGTGTGCAAGAGGAGGGTTGAGGTTGAAGGTGAACCTAGAGGGGTGAGCCAACTCTGACAAAGAAATAAGACTTGTCCTCTAGTGTCTCGGTCAGGCTGCTGATATCCAGCACATGGACCCCAGTATAAATGAGAAACTGTCCTATTGTCATGGTTCCAACATATTTTTGCTTCTCTTACAGGAAAATAGTGGCGGAGTATGAGAAGACCATCGCTCAGATGATAGGTGGGTGTCGTGATAGGTGGGCTCAGGCCTCCCCGAGGCTTCTGACTCACGGGGAGGGCTCTGAAGATAGACTCTCAGCGTGTGTTCATCTTAGGCCCCTCTTAGAGCACAAAGTCCTTGAGGGAGAGAGCAAAGCATCCCAGAATGTGAGTCTGGGGGCCTCCTGGAAACACACGCGAGCATGTCCCTTAGCATTATTTGTGCCTGTGGGAAGCCATGGTGGTCACCTCCAAGGCCACCATTGAGCCAGGACTGCCCACCTCACGGGGAAAGAGACTTGGGTCAGTTCCTAGGATGTTTGGGGGAGTTTTTGCTCATGGGAGACACTAAGAATCAAATCCCTAAACTCTAACTTAGACTCAAGTGACAAAATCCTCAGCCTTACGCAGGATAGTGGGACCCGTGACAGTGCCGCTGCCCGCCCCACCTCTCCCCTCCCTCCTGCGATTTACCTGATCTCACGGAAATGGGCACGAACTCAGAATCCATCTTAACCCGGAGCCCCTGGCAGCCAGTACCGACGCTGCTTTGGCCTGCAGTAAAAGGTGACCTCAAGTCACAACGGATACCCACCTGACTCTTTTTAAAAAAATAATAATAATGAGAAAAGATCCTGCAGAAGTTCCAAGCCTGTTTTTATACTGATGATCACTGTTCAAAAATGATGTTATGACTTGGCGGGGGTGGCAGGGAGGAATCTCTTTATTTAATTTGCTGCTTAGGTCCGTGATACCAGTTTTAAAAGAAACTTTTACTCCTAAGGACGTATGGAGTAAAAAATCCCAGCTCACCGCAAACCAGTTTCTGTGTCAAAGCTGGAGGCTGGGTTAACAGATGACTCCCCTCTCTCAGACGTTTGGATCCATGTCACACCACACCTCTGGCTTGTCCCAAAATAAATAGGAGAGCAGGCTTGGGACTGGTGAAGAGGCCGACAACTGAGTGCTTTCTATTCAAAGGAGCTCTAATTTTGATGTATTTTAATAAAGGCCATTTCTCCCAGATCTCAGGGAAAGCCCATTTGGGGTGTTTCTAAGGATCAGCCCATGGTATATGCTTTCTATCAAATCAAACTACTTTATTAAGTTGGTATAAGAATTTATGAATACATATGGATGAGATAAAAAACGAAACTCTTGGAACTGAGACTGCCTGTAAAAGTGGTCAGGAAGAAGGATTTATGTCTTCCAATATACAGCGTTTGGCACACTGAGCACAACCTTTTGGCCTCCTGGAGTCTCGGATTGTGAAAATGCACCTCAGACCTACAGTGGCTCATCTGGAAAGATCTTGTGTCTCAGAGGTCTTCGCTGTTATTTTTGCTCTTGGTGATGACATTCGGGCCAAAGTTGAGATGGGGGTAAAAGGGCACGAGCCTTTGCCCCTGTGAGAAGGCTGCCCAGAGCCATCTGTTACTGCTCAGCTGACAGTTTTGATATAAGCAGACATTCCTTCTTGAAAACCTAAGAGTAGGCTCTGTCTGCCTGCCTCAAGTGGTCTGTCCCTGTTGGACAGAAAAGATGATTCAACTCTGATTTCCTTGCAGCATATTTGCAGGTGAGAGTAGTTAGAAGAACATTTCAACGCTAGGGAAGCTGAGTGCGTGGAACCCTGACTCCAGGGGTTCTGGCTACGCACACCCACCCCCAGCACCCCAGCCCCTCCCCCAGGGAGACCTGGTATGTTTGGCCTGCGGATTCCTCTCTTCAAGAGCTGTGATTTCACTCCTCTGAGCCTTTTCCAGTTTGGGGGTGTTTGAGCACTCCCGGCGGCTCCATGAGACCCCTCCGGCATCCCGAGCGGCGAGTGGCACTGTTACTCCAGGAGGGTGTGACAGCGCACGTCCGACCCTGGTTCCCCAACCTCATGCACCTTCAGGGTCTTCTGCATCAACCACTTCTCAGACCTTGTACATCAGGTGGCACTTCTGTGGCTGTCATCCCGTCAGTCACTGTTGCAGGGCATGTGGATGAGGGCTGCCGCGGGTTTCGAGGTCCTCGTCACCTTGCAAAAAGGCGGCATGGGGTTGAGGCACAGCTGGGACTTACTGTCGCTGTTCTGGGCAGGCCGTGAGTTCCCGTATGTGGAAGCACACCCACATGGCTCATCTGGGTCTCCTATCTCTCTTCTGGTGTTCGCGCACCTCACCAGCATCCCTGGTGGGAGGGAAAACTCAGGCCCCAGGAGCTTGGCAGTTCGGGACAGAATGAACATCAGTAGTGTTTTGAAGTTAAAACCAGGTTCCACCCGACCTACACGAGCTCCTCCTGGCTCCCGCCCCGCTCTCTGGCTTCTGTGTAACCCTCACAAATGTTCCACGCCAGCCCGACATCTGTCCTGCCATTATTGTCCGTTCTCGTGCCATGTTACTAAAACCGAGCTCAAATATTGACTATTTAGGGTTCAGAACAAAAAGAGACCTCTGTGCTTTTTGCGTTCCAGGTTGTTGCAATTGATTTTTTTTTTCTGCTTTCCTAACAACTGCTCTGATTATCTGTTTTGCTTCCATTTTCTGTTGCTTCTTGCCCTTTGCTTGCAAAACAAACAGGCAAGCCTGGTAAGTAAATGCTTTTCACCTAATTTAACACTTGCCCATCTGCAACCAGTGTTGGTTTGTTTGTTTCTGTTTTTGTTACTTTTGCTATTGTGTATTTGCTGCATTTCTCCCCCATCCCGCCCCCCCCATCTCCCCACATGGTTTAATAATGTTTTGCTTGAAAAAGCCAGAAACCTCTCCAGGGGCATTGTTTTGTGGTTGAGGCTAGAGCCTTTTGAGTTTGGGGCTGATTTCCTGATTTGAAGAACCCAACTGCATTTGTAATTTATAAAAAGTTTGGTGATGCATGCTCACCCCCTCGGTCTCCTGGGAACTGGGAAATTCTATTTTTACAAGCGTTTATGGGGAGGACAGGAAACCTGAGGCAGGCTAAGTCTCAGATCCAGGAAATCAGATGGGCTCGGCTTGATAAATGGCTCTTTGCGAGCCAAGTGAGATGTATACATGGCCTCAGATCAGCCTGGAATGTGCATTGTGCAGTGTGCTGAGGACTGAGGAAGCAGCTGAAACTCAAAGAGTAAAAATAAGCGTTCAGTTACTGGTGAACCTTTGAAGCAGCTTTTCTTTTGGGAATCTAGGTGTGGCAAGCCGGCTGCTGGCAGCTTGGTTCTCCCTGTATGTTAAAAAGCTCCCCCTTTGTAAGTCACTGTGACGGGACATCACGCTAATTTGGGGGAGCTGGTGATGCTGTCAATAATGGGTCAGTGATCCTGGGTTCTTACTGTGTGTCAAAGGCTTTATATACATTTTCATTTACTCTTTCCCCAAATACCATGAGATAAATACTGTGAGCCCCTCTTTCAGCTCAGGAGGCTGAGACTCATGGAGGTTAAAAACCCTGCCCCAGGGTGGCCGGGCTGAGATGTGTCAGAGCCAGGGCAGACCCTGAGCAGTCAGGGTCTGGCTCCTGGGTCCTTCACCTCTGCCTGGTAGCGGGGGCTCTGAGAGGCAGGGCTGGACGTACATCAGGCATCTTCCGGGCCCGTGGCTCTCCCAAGCGTGGCCCCTGGACCTGCTGCCTCAGTGTCATCGGGAAACTTGTCACAGATGCAGAGCCTTGCAGACCTGCCAGACCAGAACCACTGGTGGGGGCACTGCAGCCTGTGTTCAGACAAGCCCCCCTTATTTGGGTGCACACTCCTGTGTGACAACCCTTTCATTTTGGAGATGAGGCCCCAGGCCCCTGAGAGTTGGGACTTTTGAGTAAGTTTATCTCACAGCTGGAGCTAAAACCCAGGATGTGCCCCCCCACAACCCTGGGTGCTTCCCTGCACAGCACAGGGCAAAATAGGCCTAACTGCAGGACACCGGAAGATGCCTATCTATCAGGAACCGTAGGGAAAGAACCAAAACAGCATCCCCCTGCCTTTTTTTTTTTTTTTTTAAGTTTTTATTTAAATTCCAGTCAGTTAACAGTGTGATACTAGTTTCGGGCGTACAAGATAGTGATTCAGTACTTGCGTGCAATAGCCGATGCTCATCACAAGTGCCCTCCTTCATCCCCAGCCTCCCCCTGCTTTTAAGGGAGCTCCCAGGCCTATTATTGGGAAGCCAGTGGAGAGACATGGTCATGAGCGCAGCTCTGGGTTTGAATCGGGCTCCAGGGCCAGGCTCCCCTCGTTCATTCCCGGCACAGATGTGTTGAGGCATCCTGTGACTCAGGCATTGTCCTGGGCCCTGGGATAGAGAAGTGGACAAAACAGACTCCTGCAGTGTGCGTTCTGGGCAGACAGCCGGCAGACACACGGGCGCTTGCATGTCTGGCCGTTGCTGGTGAGAGAATGGACTGGAAAGTAGGGAGGAGGCGTTCCCCGCAGGTGCTCAGGAAGGCACCTCTGGGGAGGTGGCCTGGTGTCAGGGACCTGAGTGAGTGAGCTCTGGGACCACTGAGCCCTGGGGCAGGACCGCCTGGGGTGTGCCAGCCAGTGTAGCTGGGGCAGGTGGGGAGGGAGTTTGGATTTCATTCCCAGTGCACAGGGAGGACCCCAGGGGGCTCTGAGCTGGAGCCCGGTGACCCAGTTTGGACTTAAGGAAGTTTAGTTTGGCGGCCGGGTGCTGGCTTAGGAGCATTAAATGAACAAAACAGTGAGCAGGACGCCTGACGCGTGGGAGAGCTGGGTGCACGCTGGTTGCTGTTGTTAACGTCATTTCCAGAGCCATCCGCCCTACGGCGGCCAGCCCTTAGAGGTAGTCCTGGGCATCAGGACCCCCGCCCAGGTGACATGGGGCTGAGGGGAGGACAGCTCTGCAGAGCTCCTTCCCCCAAGAGTTCTGAGAGGGGGCTTCTCCTCCCTCCACTCTCTGTTGTCGCCAGAAGTCCAAACAGATGGGAACAAAAGGTTCCTCGCCCACCCAGACGGGTGACCAACGGGCCAGCGCACAAAAGATAGCGCCGTGTGGATGAGGGGCTTTTATGCGGCGTGGTCAGAGAATGCCTTTCCCATAAATACGAGATGGTTTGCAAGCTGTTTGCGGGGGAACGTTAGCGGGTGGTGGCCCCGAGAGGTGGGGTCGAGGACGGAGCCGTTCCTTTTACTAGGATCAGCCACTCTGAACTGAGCCAGAATTCATTCTTTTGTACATAACTGAGAAACTTACTTTGCCAGAAAGAGCTCCATTTTTCTCAGAGTAAAGACATTTGCTGTATCAAAGAAAATGTCCATTTCTGTGCAAAGCAGAGTTTCAGGGCTGATGGTGATGTGGGCTTTGGTTCATGGGATGTTTTAAGGGATGAGGAAGTCTTTTTTCTTTTCCAATAACCATCTCTTTATTTTGATAACACATAGAAAGGCCTGTTCCTCAGAGCCCAGACTACTGTACCTTGTAATCTTGCTCAACACACAAGTCAGTTGTGATTTTTTTCCACCTTATGGATCTGTTTGCTGTCATCAACTGAATAGAATCACTGGGGCCTTGAATGTGGATTTTTAAGGGTCTGCATCGATCAGGTTCAAGGACAGTGGCTAGTTTCCGTCCCATCTCACACTGCAAAGGCCCAGGCCCGGGATGCTGGGCCTGTGGGCGTTGTTCCTTTAGAAACAGAGTCTGGGTGGGCTCGGGGAGTGGGGGGGTGGGTCTGTCCAGAGTCTAGGATGCCCTGTGCTCAGGCTGAGTTGCATCTGAGGCCCCAGCTGCCCCTGAGACCAGGTTGGGATCCCCCAGCGCTATCATCTGGATCCTTGTGTCTCTTGCCAGAGGATGAGCAGAGGGAGAAGTCCGTCTCCCACCAGACCGTCCAGCAGCTGGTCCTAGAGAAGGAGCAAGCTCTGGCCGACCTGAACTCGGTGGAGAAATCTCTGGCTGATCTCTTCAGGAGATATGAGAAGATGAAGGAGGTCCTTGAGGGTTTCCGCAAGGTGTGTTCGTGTCGGGGCAGAGTGGGACGCTGGATAGGGTGGGTGGGGGAAGCTGGAGCAGGTTGGGAGAGATTTATAGGGACCTGGACTTGGTGGTCCAGGGTTCCAGCAGCATCGGGGAGTTCTCAGGGTTCCCAGCACCCCGGGGCATTTCTTCTGTGGGCGTGACCTCTGTCCTCTGTCACGTCAGAATGAAGAGGTGCTGAAGAAGTGTGCACAGGAGTACCTGTCCAGGGTAAAGAAAGAGGAGCAGAGGTACCAGGCCCTGAAGGTGCACGCGGAGGAGAAGCTGGACAGGTAACGCGGCCTCGGGTCCGCTCCCGGAGGCCTCTCAGCACCCCGCCAAGGCAGGCCGGGCACTCCAGTGGCACCGCTCACACTGGCTTGGGGAGGGCGGGTAATCCACTTGTGTTTTTTCAGTGTGGCTTGTGATGATAGTGTACTCTCAGCATTTTGATAAGTGAAGGACACACATTGCAATTTCCAGGGCACCCGCTCAAAGCACCGTGGCATCACGGGAATGGGGGCTGGGGGCAGGGGGTGCTCATGGGCTCCTGCTGCCCAGAGCTGGGAGGAAGAAGGTGGGAGGGGGTCTATGGGGAAGGGTGATCATTCCTGAGCATCCCCCCACCCTGTTTCCGCAGGGCCAACGCTGAGATCGCGCAGGTCCGAGGGAAGGCCCAGCAGGAGCAGGCTGCCTACCAGGCCAGTCTGCGGAAGGAGCAACTTCGTGTGGACGCTTTAGAGAGGACGCTGGAGCAGAAGGTAAGAGCCGAGGGCAGGGGGCCTCCAGGGGGTGGGGCTGGCCGGACCCTCAGATAAGCGAAGGCCGGGTTTCTCTTCGCTCCCTGCAGTTCCTGGGACAGGTTTAGATCTCGTGAGCATATGCTTGCTCTCCCTCTGGAAGATCCAGTGTAATGCTCGCCCCGAGACTGTCCTCCTTCCTGCCTTTCCTGGAATTGCTGTCTGCTCCGATGTTTATTGCTGGTTTTCATTCCTTGTCAACATTCACCTGTCACACATTTACCAAGTATCTACAGTGTGCCAGGCAGAGTACCTTACCCCACATCCAGCGTGCTTTACTGGTGAGGGAATGGGGTAATCACCAGGCCATGTTGGGGTCAAAAGGGCCCCAGCTGTCCTCCCCGTCCATGGATGGGGGAACCCTCCTGAGATCCCTCAGCTTGTCCTGATTTCTGGTCTAGCGCCCAGTCCAGCATACATACCTTCTCCCTGGGTATCCAGAGGGGAAAACCCTTCCACCCAGGAGTGTCATGTGAGTCTGAATCTGGGTGAGTGAGTGCCACACAGCTCCCTTCCTTAAGTGTGTCTCTAGAGGGAGTTCCCAGACAGCAACCCCATTCTGGTTGATTTACTGAGCCTTAGGAGTCCCTTGGATGGTTATCATAGAGCCCAGTGTCCTGGGGTAGCATCACTTCTCATGCATTTGGGCCTTAAAGGGCAGTCATGGGGTGGGGGGCGCGTCCTTTGTGGGCAGATGGCATCTGAAGTCCAGCGTGTCTCCCAAATGGTCTGCTGACCCAGAAGCACCCAGTGGCCTCTGACTGACCCCTTTCCTGTGCCTATACCCAGCCAGGTTCCGGGGGGGCTGGCTATGGTCCCGAGGTGGGTCTGGGCCAAGCAGTGGGCGTGTACTACCTCTCTCTTTGCCTAAATGATGTCAGGGACAGAGCCCTGGGTCTCAGGAGCCTCAGGTCCTCCCCCCCACCCCCACCCACTCCCCGCCATCCATTATGACCCTGAGCAAGCCTCACACTTGCCCTCAGGTTGTATAGGTTTGTCATGTTGGAGGTTGAAACCCGAAGATTTGGAAGAGTCCCTCAAAAGGGAAAGAAGCAAAGAGGTGGGACTGGCCCAAATATGCCAAATCTCTTCAACTGCCTCGATCTTCCAGGCTCTGCTCCTTGTTCCTAGCAGGGAGCCCAGAGTCCGAGGCATCAAACACAAGCATTGGCTCATCCCATCGATATTTATTGAGTGGCACTGCATTGCTTGTCTGGAGCGGGTGTTTATTTTTATTCTTTGGATATTGATAATCCACGTGTGGTATATTTGGTGACTCTTGAGAAGTGGAATATTCATTTAAAGTAAGGACCACATTCCCCCGTCATTTTGGGCAGGAAGGCGGTTGCGCATCAGATGTTTCCAGGTGAGAAATGTAGCAATATATTGGTTCCCTCCTATTTCGCTCAGGATTTGATGGTGTTTGAACTGCATCATGGTGTGTAGCTCAAGTAATAGAGGTAGAACCAGAGTCGGGATAGATGTTTTCTAGGCAACCTGGCCTGTTCAGACTCTTCCACTTGCTAGATGAAGGTGATGCTACATATTCTGGCAAACTGAAAGACAAGAAGGCTAGGTGGCCTGCCCAGTTTTGGAGAACAGAAAAGATACAAACAGATCTATAAACATAATTCGGTCTTAAACTAAAACTGAGGAGGAAGGGGGTCATCACACACGTTCTCCCCTAAAGGACTCTGAGTGATACAGAGGGGTCGGTCTCTGTTTTAAAGAGATTCAGAAGCATGACCTCCCCGCACCAGGCCCTTCCTAATTGGCGGCACCGGAAACCTCGTGAGCTGAGCTGCACGACGGCCGTGTGCTAGGCAGTGGGCTGCTGGTGCCGAGATGGAGCTTGGAGAACCTCCAGGAATCTGTAGTGAGTGGGTCTGCTAGTGCCTCTCAGCTGTCAGAACATTATGTTTAATAAGTAAAATAGCAAAGCCGTCTAGGGGCCAGGCCAGCCTGAATTCACGCTCCAGGATTGCTGTGTCTGACCAGCTGTGTGACCTTAAATTGAGCACAACACTTAACCTCTCTGAGCCTCGGTTTCTCACTGGAAAGTGGAAATACCGGTGGCTCCCACAAAGGGACTGTTGTGAGAACCCAGCGGGCGCAGTGCTTGGGGCATGGTAAGCAGGTGACTGGCACACGGGAAGATGAAAAGTCCCCATCCACGGCCCCAGCAGATGCTGTTGTGGCAAGAATCCTTCCAGGATTTGCGGTTAGAGCCACGTTCCCACAGTACATCCTCTTCCAACAGACGTTTCAGTGCCTCTCAGAATCGAGCCTCGCAGAGCTGGAAACTCTAGAAGGGGGCAAGCTGAGGTGCTGTTCCAGGTGATTCTCTCCCAGTGGGGGCTGGGGGCTGGACTGCAGTGAGGGCTGCGTTTCTCTTCTATTGAGGACCTCTCGACTCTTCCCAATATGGACACAGTCACGGGTGGCACCCAGAGCCCAGCCTGGAAACAGGACACGTGGCTCCAGGCGGGACCGTGTCTCAGGAGGTTTCCACGATTTCCAAGGAAGGGCCCTGTTACAGTCTCAGGGGAGAGGCTTGTGGTTAAGACTCACCTTCCACGGGGACCTCAGAAAACTGGCTGTAGTATGTTCCTGGGATACCAGAAAGATCTAGGCCCCTTGGAGAGGGCTGTTCGACATTGGCTGTGGAAGCAGATCTGCATCAGAGCAAAGCCTCCCCTGCCCTTGGACTCATCCTGTTGGATCCCCACACTTAGAGCGTGGATGGTGTTGTCTGATCGTTGGTGTGAGCACGTGGTTGGCTTCCCTTGCTTCCCAGCACGGGCAAGGCGTGGTGCAAGGAGCACCTGAGGCCATCTTGTGTCTCCCCCTGCCTCTCTCCTCGACTCCTCATATCCACAGCACCTCTAAATAATGCTAGCGACCCTATTCACGTAGAATTGCTTAACCCCTCCTGGTGGCATTTCTCAAACAGACCACCCAGGAGCTCACCCTGGACCATCTTTTGTGTCCACATCCTTCAGAGGCAAATAAAAGAAAGTGAACCCATACTAGTCAGGCCTCTACTCTATGCCGGTCACTGTGCTAGGGAGCTTTATGTTCTGCCTGCTTTCCATTCTCAGAGAGAGGCTATCATCCACATTGTAGAGAGAAGGACACCAAGGCTCAGAAAGGTTGTATAACTTGCTCAAGGTCACAGCTAGAGCTGGGATATGTACTTAGATGATTTGTCTCCATGTCATTTCTCTTACTGCGTTAGATAATTTCGGGGGGACCCAGAAACTTGGAGGGCCCCACCCCCCTGAAAAGCCCAAAGATCATTCTGATTGGCTTGATTTCCAACAGCCAGGAGATTTCAGCAACCTTTTTGTTTTGTTTTGTTTTCACTTTCAGAATAAAGAGATAGAAGAACTCACCAAGATTTGTGATGAACTGATTGCCAAAATGGGGAAAAGCTAACTTTGAACCAAATGTTTGGACTTGACCATTGCGTGCAATATGACCGTCGGCTCACTGCTGTCCTTCCCGTTACATGGACAGGTTCTGTTTTCACTTTTTCGTATGCACTACTGTATTTCCTTTCTAAATAACGTTGATTTGATTGTATGCAGTACTAAAGGAGACTATCAGAATTTCTTGCTATTGGTTTGCATTTTCTTAGTATAAATTCATAGCAAGTTGACCTCAGAGTTCCTGTATCAGGGAGATTGTCTGATTCTCTAATAAAAGACAAATCGCTGACCTTGGCCTTGCCATTTGTACATGAGTTCCCAGGGTGAGCAGCTTTTGGATTTAATATGAACATGTATAGTTTGCACGGGGACTCTTGCCTTAAGGAGTGTAAACTTGATCTGCATTTGCTGATTTGTTTTAAAAAAAATGCATGTTTCAAATAAAATTCTCTATTGTAAATAAATTTTTTTCTTTGGATCTTGGCAATACGTGTGGCTCTGATTTATTTTCTGGGAAGGGTTGAGTCTTTTCTGGCCTTTGTTAAAATCATATCAGATCTGGCCCTTCACTCTTCTCTGGCTCCCTTCTCTGTCCGTGGATTTAAAGAACATTTCCTTCGTTATTGTGGAAACCATTTGTAAGCCGTCTGTAAGATGGAAGCTAATGAGAAAGATGGACTTGCTATTTAAATGATGGAGTGTTTTCGAATTACCGTAGGTTTTGGTTTTACAAAGCCTCTCTGAGTTTTGACGCAAAAGGCTCTTTCCCTTTACTGGCTCGAGGAAGTAGCAGGCTGTCCCTCTTCCTGTGTGTTCCTTAGCATATGACTGTCAACCTGGAAACATTGCCTAGTTCCCTCTAAAGGACCGGGCCCGGGCGAGCGGTTACCCGTGGGAGACAGGTAGGGAGGCCACTTTGCAGACGAAATCGGGACGTGCCCGCCGTTGGATTCCTTAACTGCTCCTGACCTTCTCGGGGTCCCCAGGCTGACCGGTGGGCCTATGGGGGGCAGTGAGAGGATGGGAAGATGTCTTTGTTTCCTAGGACACAACATCACACAATCAGCAGCTTAAAACCACAGAAATGTTTTCTCTCTCAGTTCAGAGGCCAGAAGCCCCAAATCAGAGTGTCGGTGGGCTTTGCTCCCCCCGCCGAGGCTCTGAGGCAGAGTCTTTCCCTTGCCTCTCTCACAGCTTCCGGACAGTGGCCGCAGTCCCTGGCATCCCGTGGCTGGCGGCTACGTCCCTCCAGTCTCCTCTGGGGCTCAGCTCCCTCTCCCCTCTCCTGTAAGGACACTGCTCTGTGGATTTCAGGCCCACCCCAAATCCAGGATGATCTCCTCTCCACATTCCCAGTTACATCTACAAAGGCTCTGTTTCCAAATAAGCGCGTGCTCGCAGCTATAGTGGTGTTGGGCCATGGAGGCATTTTGGGGGGAGCCTGAGTGTGCCAGTGGGGTGTGGTGTGCGGCGTGAACTTGGAAAGCAGCGCCAAGGCCCTGGTGGCCCTCAGCCCCGGGTGCCCCTCCTCGGGCCCAGCCACCGTGGCGGTGGGCTGCGCCCCTCAAGTAGGACCCCCCGACGCCTGACGGAGCAGGTATCCCAGGCAGCACAGGGAGAGAAAGATGCAGCCCGCCTCTCTGGAAGAGAGTCCCAGCCTCTAGTCCCACTGTCAACCCCATGTCTGACAGGGACCCTGAGACAGGCCAGGGGGCGGCCTCCTCCCACCGGCCAGCCCCCTCTGCTGGGCCCCGTCTCCCTGTCTCCCTTCCTCGGGGCACAGCCGTGTCCCCTCACCCCCAGTGCTCATTTGTCCAGACCAGACCCCTCCTCCACGCTCACCCCAGATTGTAATCTCAGCCGTGTTCTCACAACAGCCCAGCCCCTAGCTCTTGGAAGTTCCTCTGTTTCTTACAACTTAAATAACACATTTCTGGGGCACCTGGGGGGCTCCGTTGGTGGAGCGGCCGACTCGGTTTTGGCTCAGATCCTGATCTCAGGGTCATGGGATTGAGCCCCACGCTCAGCAATGGGTCTGCTTGAGATTCTGTCTGTCTCTGCCTCCCCCTCTGTCCCTCTCCCCACCCTGCTCATGTGCACACTCTCTCTCAAATAAATAAATACATCTTTTAAAAAAAAAATCTTCCACTGCTAAAAAGTCTAGAGATGCAGGTAAGGAAAAAACTCCATAATCCCCAAACCAAGAAATGATAACTGTTAATGTTTTTATACTTATTTTTCTATACTTTTTTCTCAGTGTATGAAATATTTATTAATTTATCTTTATAAAAGCAGGATTATTTGGAGCTCTGCCGTGCCCCTGCATACCATTTTGTAAACCCTTTTCTCATGTGATGCTATAATGTAACCATCATGTGATGCAAACTTTTCTATCAATAAATATGGCTCTTTGTCGTCACTTCGAATGACCGCATGTGTCTCATGGTCGCAAAATGTATTTACGCAGCCGCCCACTGACGGACATTTACGTGGTGTCTGATGGTTTGCTGTCATTGTGCACGCACATTGCATTGAGTTTCCTTACGCATACACATTTATGAGCATGAGTTTTCCTTGGGCTGAATTTTTGAAGTGGATAACCTGGATGAATGCTGTCACTACTTCAGCACCCGTGTTGAGCAAGCTGGCTTTGGGGCTCGTTGTAGTGAGGACGGACAGCCACCAGGGGGAGCTGTGGGGGCAGCGCAGTAAGAAACTGTTCGGAGGCAGGTGGTATAGGATTTGGGCTTGAGTCAGCTGCTTCTGGGGAAGACTAAGGAAGCAGGGCTTTGTTCCGTGTTGGATGCTCTCCGGGCAGAGACAGTTCTCAGATGGGGTATCTCAGCACATCTTACCTAGACTAAGGCAAAGCTGTAATTGGTAAAGAAGGAATAGTTGTTCATACATATTAGCCAGGATGGAAGGATATCTGGTCCTTTCTGTGGTTTGGATAATGTTCATGTTCTGTGTGTGTTCAGACTGATTCTGGGGTGGTCTTGTTTTCTCTTGATCCATCACAGCGTGGCCAATTCTGACACCGAATTTCTGCGAAACTTTGTGTTCAGCAGGAGAACAGCGAGGCCTTGCAGGCACGCCAGGCTAGCTCCTGGATATCACACGCGGTTTTTCTCCTTTTTGAAGGTTATACGCGTTTTTAAAGTTTGGTACACCCATTGCCAAACAGGCCTTCACTAAGGTTGTACTAAGATATACCTCCTCCCCCATCCACACTCAATACACACACATATTCCATATGTAACCTTTGAGGCATAGATCTGTCTCTGGGCCACTCTGTCCATCAGCCGGGCCTGGCCTAGCTTGGGACGCCCTGGCCCTACCTTGGCCTCAGGCCCACCTGCGCGCTAGGCCCCCTCACTAGACCTACTCACAGAGTGCCTGGCCTTGGGAACCCCTCTGGGTTGAGATCAGCTGCTTTTGGTCCTGCATTCACTTTATAGAATACCACACGTGTTTGCAGATGCTCACCCGCATCATGGCCGCTAAGGACTATTTCAAGTATTTTGCCTTGCTGAGTGAGTGGGAAGAGCAGGAGAAGGGAGCACCTGACGCCCATCCAAAGCTCCCCCGGCAGCCGGCATGACAACCTCTGAGATTCTCTGCAGCTCTTAGAAGTCCGGTTTGCCAAGTCAGTTGAAATCCTGAAGTTCGAACATCATTTTCTTTTTTTTTTCCCCCTGGCTCAGCATTTCCTTAGGGCTCTCAAGTTAAAGATGACGTGACTGAGATACTAAGTTTACTCCTGAAGACAGAGGGGCTGGGGAGGGAGGTGGTCACTGTGACCGCGATGGGGGGGCTCGGTGGAGGAAGCCTCTTTTTCTTTCAAGTTTGGGCCTCAGCCCCTTAGGCGTGAGATGTGAGGGGCCCAAGGCCGTGCAAGGAGCACCCCAGCCTCCACCCTTTCCAGGCACGGAGAGAAGTGATCAGCGCTGTGCGTGGGACAGGTGACAGAGGTGACAGGCCCGAGTGCGGGCTCAGGCTCCCTGACAGTGCTTCTTTCACTTAATTGTCAGCCCTGGCAGGATGCTCAGGTTTTCTAGCAAAGCCTCTCTGCTTTCCAGGACATCCCACTTGACAAATGGAACAAGGCGGGGAGGTTCCGATGAGGGCAGGGTGGAGGTATGCACGCAGGTAGGAGGAAAAGACTGTTCACATTTGAGGCGCACAGGGCTTCCTTGGGGTTTGCACTCTCTGGCCTTGAAACAATCTGGTGAATAGGAGCTATTTTTACTTCTATTTTACAAGAAGGAAGCAGAGGCTCCGGGAGGTTAAAAACCTGGGGATTTGACCGGGCCGCTCAGGCAGAAGATGGGGCCGCCGGGACGGGGCCTCAGCTCTTCAGTGACTGCGAGCCCCTTTGCGTTCCTCAGGCTGACAGCTGTCTTTATAAGGGAGCCCGGCAGAAAGTGGTGGGGAGAGAAGGCACCGGGAAGGGAGTGCGCCCCCGTGCCCGCAGTGGTCCTCACACCCATTCTGTCCTTAGACTGATTGGCAGCCCTGTCTTGAGCCTGAGCTGCCCCTGCTACTGTGTTCAAGGACACTGAAAACCCCGCTCTTTGTTCAATAGCTGGGAATGGCTGTGGGGCTCCCTGCAGTGTTAGGCAGGTGTGAGTGAGGGGCTCCGCTCTGTCTGGTCTTCACGTGTTTCCCTTGGCGGTCCTGTGGCCCCTCCCCAGGCTGGCGGCACCTGACGGGGCCCCTGAGTCCCCTAGGCTGGAACAGCAATGGCAGAATACAGAGAATCCACATCTTTTGGGTTTATTAGGAGCTGGGAAACACAACCTGGAGATCAAAGAGGTGGGGCTAGACAAAGCCCCTTCCCCCATCCCCACCCTACGGTGCAATGAGATGCATGGCCATTTCTTCAGTAGGTCCCGACGCCTCTACCAGGGACACCCACCCCTGCCCCATCATCTGGTCTCCCAGCTAATGCCCACTCCCTGAAGGCTCATTCTTGATGTCACTCCCTCCAAGGAACCCTCCCTGAACCCCCAGGCCTGGGTCAGTGTGTTTAAATGTGGGTTTTATTATTATTCGGGCATGATGAGGCCCACGGACCAGGGGACAAGTGCCGTTGAAGACAGCTGGTTACTCACAGTTCCCCAGAGGAGAGGGTATGCCGTGCCAGGCAGGATCACAGGGAAGCACCAGCTTGGTCAGGAGACAGGGAAGTAAGGGGAAGATGTAGGTAAGAGCCTTCACTGTGGTTCCTGAGAGAAGGAACAGGTGGGGGGAGGGGCGTGTAGGTAAATAGCCTTAGGGTCCGCTAGTTTGCATCATTTGCATCAGTAGGCTCTGGGCCGTAGGGGCTCTCTGTAGTTGTTTGGTACCTGGGCCTGGGGTGATCAGGGTAGGGGGACAGAGGCCCTGAGTGTAAAAGCCAATAAAAGAAGTGATGGGGATACGGGCTCTGGGTTTGGCTGGTTTGCAAATGAAAGCTCGCTAATAGGCAGGTGCTTTACTAAGCCCTAG